ACGGGTGGATAAGGATTCTCAGATGGTAGGACTGGTGTTGTTAACATGTGCTTGGAACAGCCATATTTGCTGTTGGCCACTTGCAATGGCCACTTGCAATGGCCACTTTCTCTATGCGCACTCCGAAAATCCTGCGAAATTGCGTGGTTTTGCTAAGCTTTTGCACATTCAGTTCTTCTCTTCCACATTAGGTATTGTTTCATCGGGTCGTTGCATTCATTTTTGGATCCGTTGTAAACGACAGTGGTACACGAGTGTGCCGAGATTGCCAACATCTGACCCAACTTCGCCTTCGACCCAGGCCATTTCCGATGGCCTGGGGCACTCGAGGTTTGCGGTACAGGAAGGTTTATAATAAAGGTATCACCGCACCAATATGAATAAGGAAGCTCCATTACGAAAACCAGCAAGCAAGGTGGAAGGGCAGAATTTGCTTAGAATGCCGACATTCGCCCTATATATAAATATCAATTATTCTAATTCTTCTTAATAAAGTATCCCTATTAAATTGTTCTATCCCATTCGCCGAGGCCAGTTCGCTTGCTTTCTTTCCGACTCTCAGCAGAAGACAATTCTTTCAGCAAATATTTTTGCGCGCAGAAAAATTCTCCCCGATATCGAACGAGAGAGAAGAAAAATTAGGTTCGGGGAGGGGCAACGCAAGGGCAACGCAAGGGCAACGCAAGGTTGCCCACCCGGTGACTCATGAATTCATAACGAACGAGGAAAAACGGGAACCGTGCCCATTTTTCACCCCGCCAGGTGATGAAGCTGCTCCAGAAGGGCAACAAGAACAGAACGGTGGAGGCAACCGCCGCGAACAAGACGTCCTCCCGCTCCCACGCCCTCCTGCAGGTCCTCGTCGAGCAAGAGGACAAATTCACCGGGACCAAGACGAAAAGGAAATTCGGGAAACTCTTCATGATCGACTTGGCCGGCTCGGAACGGGCCTCCCAGACAAAGGTACCGGAGGAAAAAAGGAGGCGCAAAAGGGGCGCAAAGGGGGCGCAAAGGGGGCGCAAAGGGGGGTAGGGCGCAAAAAGGACGCAAAAGGACGGAAAATGGGGCGCATAAACGGTCGTTGCCATGGAGATTTTGTGGGTCGCGCGGTCATTCCAGGTGGTTCTTCCACCGTTTGCTTCCAGGAACCGCAAAGTAATGCAACATCTTTGTTCTTGGTTGCTATGGTGGCAGGAACGATTAGGAGATTCCCTATCAGTTGCCATGGTCACCACCGCGCGGCCAGGACTGGAATAAGCCCACACTTGAAGGCGAGTGCCGGACGAACATGTAAATGTACTTATAGCTGCAATGAGGTATTCATTAAATATCGATTCGAACCACATGTCCTTAATCGGACGAACCGCGATCGATCGCGAATTCTTCCAGCCCCCTCCCGCCCCCACCCCCCACTCCCCGCCCCCCTCCCCCCTCCCCCAAATTTCGACTCATTTATTTATTTATGTTGCCACAAAACCGTTCCAGAACGAGGGAAAGCGCCTGCAAGAAGGCGCCCACATCAACCGCTCCCTCCTGGCCCTCGCGAACTGCATCAACGCCCTGGCGCAGGGCGACGCGAAGTACGTCAACTTCCGCGACTCCAAGCTCACCCGCCTCCTCAAGGACGCCCTCAGCGGCAACTGCCGCACGGTCATGATCGCCCACGTCAGCCCCAACCCCGACCACCGAGACGAGACCTACAACACCCTCGTCTACGCCGATCGAGCCAAGAACATCTCCAACAAGGTCCATCTCCCTTGCATCCAGAAATTATTTATTATTTATTTATTATTTACCATTCCTTATTTATAATTTACTATTGCTCACTTAGCATTTCCCGTTATTTATTTAGTATTTAATAGTATGTAATATGTACTTTTCATTCATACCGGGTGTCGCAAAAAACAAAACGCATCCCGCTTGACGCTCCATAAAACCCGCCGCGAATCCCCCACCCTCGCGATTTTCCCCGCGCCTCGGAAAATAAAAAAACTTCAAAAACGAGTTTCCCCGAAAGTCTGAGACCCAGCTCGAACGCCACGCCAGAATTTCACGATGCAAATACCACGACGACATTTTCATCGGAGCGACCAACGGAGAAGACCGAAACTTTCGGGGAATCGATTTTGCAGCGTTTCCAATGCGAATACGAAAATATCGCGAGCTTAGATGGTATACAGCGGGTTTTATATAATATATTTATAGGCGTCATTCATAAACAGGATGTGGCTCGCTTTCACCCGAGCCTTGGCACAATTATTAATTAATTAATTTATTTATTTATGCTTTAATCCCTTGCCTAAGCTATTCCAAGGCTAGTAATGGGAGAGCTTAATCGCTGTCACAATCCGCGGGACTCAAATAGGGAGAAAATCATCTGATTCACAGAGAATTCACAGAGAACTCACTGAGATCTCACTGAGATCTCACTGAGATCTCACTGAGAACTCACTGAGAACTCACTGAGAAGACGTCGCTGGGTCGAGAGCGTGTTTCGGGGTCTGAGGAAATTTGTGCACCGTTTCGAAAGAAAAAAAATCTGGGAGCAAACTCAGAAGAAAATTATGTGTGCGTCACATTTCGAATCCTGTCGGGTCGACGAGAGATTTCCTAGGAGATTAGTTAATCGATCGCGGTCGACTTTGGCAGTGAATGCGTTCATGCGTCAGCGAGGCCCCGGTCGTTGCTTCCATTACTTTTTCATACGCGGCGCTCGTCGAGGTTTCATGCGGCCGGTAAGCAGTCGGGGGAAGGGTGATGGAAGGATGGTGGATGGATGATGGATGGATGATGGATGGACGATGGATGGACGGGGGAGTCATAGCCCCTCCTCCATCAGGAAAAAAAAAGGTGAAAGGAACCGAAAGAGGGCAGCATTGTGAAGAATCAGATTGAGGCATAAATACGCACTACTCCCCATGTCGTTAAGCGTCCCTATTCCCTCCCCCTCCCTATTCCCAATATCAAGAGGCGATTTCGCCCATTTCGATATCACGTGTCTCTCCCTCTTTCTCCCTCCCTTTCTTTCTCTCTCCCTCTCTCCCTTTCCCTCTCCTCCCCTTTGGCCGTTGTAATGACTTTCCTCTGTGAACTTTCCTGTTGCGCCCCCGTCCACATGGTTGTTGCCTGGAGAACAGAGAGCAAAAAAAAGGTACGGCGATTGACAGATCGATTAAATGAGCCCCAGAAGAAGGAAATTAGCCTCATGTCCATTTTTCCTCGATCCCTCCTTATTAAGTGCTCACGCAGAGAAACGTCTCTACATGAGGCGAGTGAAGGAAATAATGACGCGGCCTTGGACAGCTCAAAATAGAATAAGCAGTCGTTAATTACGCACATCGACAGCAGTGCACAGCGCGATCGGCGCGATCGGTCCATGGCGATTCCATCGACCTGGATCTCTCCCGACGCAGGTGAGGAAGAACGTGGTGGACGTGGAGCACCACGTGTCCCAATATCAGAACATCATCGAGGAGCTGAAGGGAGAAATCTCGAGACTCAGGGAGAAACTGGAAGGCGGCGGGGAGCCGTCCAAGGACGCCGTCGACGCCACCTTCAAGGACAGGAAGGCCCAGGAGGCTCACAGGGTGAAACTCAAGGCCCTGCAGGAGCAACTCGTCGCGAACTTCAAGGACCAGATGGACGTCAGGTAATCCGGGAACCCCCTCGGTCTGGTTCCCTTTGGGGAGCAATTTTCCCGTTTGTTAAAAAAAAAAGTTAAATGCCAAAAAGGACAAAGAGAGAATATCGATGCAATCGCGAGTCAGAATATTGATAAATTCTCGCCGAAAAAATTGTTTTTCGAGGGATAGATGGGCGCTCGGCCTCTATTCGGAAACAAAATTTGAACACGTTGCGTCTTCACATCCTAACTTAAACCATGAACCTTTACACTGCAAATAATTTAATTAATTTAAAAGGTCGATTAGCGTTCTAATTAAATGAAACTGAAACCGGAACTGAAACTCCATATCGCCGCCGAAACAGAAGCCGAACGGAAACGCCAGTTAAAACAAATTAATGAGAAATATTAGTTAGAAATTTTAATGAGAAATAAAGAGCTGAATCTCGAACAGGCAAGAGATGCTGGACGTGGAAAACAACATCCTGGCCCTGGCGATGGAGCGAGAGAAGGAGCAGCTCATCATCGACGAATGGGAGGCTGAGAAGACGAAGAAGAAAAGCGCGATGAAGAAGGGCAAGCCGTCCTCCTCGTCTTCCTCGAACCAGTCCGGTGAGTCATCAGCCGCCGGTGGGCCGCCAGTGGGTCGCCAGTGGGTCGCCGGTGGGCCGCCGGTGGGCCGCCGGTGGGCCGCCGGGGGAGCATTTCTCATTGGGGTTTTCTGCAGGGGAGGATTCGGAGTCGGATGTGGAGATGGAGGAACCGGAGGAAGTGGCACAGGCCTGGGACGAAATCATGTTCATCAACAACGAGGAGAAGAGATATCTGGAGATGAAGGAGGACTTGGAGAAGGAACTGGAAGAAGCTCGGCATAAGTCTGCCGCGCTGGAAGCTGTAAGTGCCGATAGTATCTCTTTGGTGACTTTTGCGATCCTGACGGCAAAAGCCCAGAAACGCACGAAAAAAAGGATTCCAGAGGCAGCAAAATAGAAATAGAAAGAAAGACTCATCATCAGAATCGACGAAATGTGAACTAAAATGGTCGTAGCAATTCTCCGAAGCCCGCCGGAAAAAAATTCCTGACCGCGCCTCAAACAAAAATTCAAACTAGAACCACAGAAATAAACTAACATAAAAAAAAAATAAAATCTAAAAAAAAAAATTAATAAAATAAAAAAAAAACATACTCACCAACTCCGCATTCGACCAGGAATTCCCCCAAGAGATCACCGACAGCGAACAGCGAGAGATCTACAGCCTCCTCCTCCGCGTCCACGAACTGGAGGTGGAAAGGGTGGAAATGCAGCGCGACGCCCTGCTCAGGGAACACGAGATGCGAAAGAAGGAACTCATGCTCCTCCGATTCGACATGCAGAGGAATCTCTGCGACCAGATCATCACCCGGCAGCGGGAGCTTCTCAAAGGTACGCCCCACCTCATCGTAAAGGCGTCTAACGCAAAAGAGGCACAACTCTGTTGGCAAAACGGTTGGCTAATCAGTCACTCGATTTGCAAATCGTTGGCAACTCGGTTGGCAAATCGTTGGCAACTCGGTTGGCAAATCGTTGGCAACTCGGTTGGCAAATCGTTGGCAAATCGTTGGCAACTCGGTTGGCAAATCGTTGGAAACTCGGATGGCAATTCGATTAAGTTCACGTAAAATGTATTTATTTCGTCTTCCTGAAAACCTGACGACTCGGCGCGTTATGACGGATTCTACGTTTTCTTCATCGGTCGTCCTCGCAGCCCATCAGTCCCAGACGCCGGAAGACCTCGACCAACTCTATCAAGTCTACAAGAACGAGTCGTACGGCGCCACCCGGGAGAAAGACGCCAAACTGATCGCCCAGCTGAACGAATTCATCCGGGTGGGTCTCTCTCGCTCCGACGAATCGGTAGGATTACGGGATTAAGGCACCGGATTGAGATCGCGATGAACCCCGGGACCGTTCGTTGCAGTCGTCGACTGTGGGGATCCCGCTGAGAACGACACGGTCTTCGACGAGGGCGTCCGGCACCCCCGGCACCCCCGGCTCCGGCTCCGGCTCCGGCTCCGAAATCAACCACAAACTTCCGCCCATCAGCGAATTCAAACAGTGAGTCTATTTTCCGTCGTTTCCGATCTATTTTCCGGGGGGAATCGATCCCCCGGGGACCTCGAAAGGAAAAGGGAAAATAGAAACAGTTGCTCGGAGACCCGACGCCGTCTGTTTATCGTGTCGACCAGTCGCCAAGGATTTAGAGGAATCGGAAACCCGATATCGTACGACACCGAGCGGATCCACCTCGTTATTCCGTCACGCAGGGCCTCGTCGACGGTCGTCTCCGTATCGACCGGCGACGTCTTGCGACGAGTCCGTGCGTCTGCGACGACGTCTTCATCAATTTTTTACGGTTTATCGGGAACTTCTTCGAGCGAGAGTGCGATGGCATCGCCTGCCGAGGCCTTTGCGAGTCGCTGATTGCTCTCAAGTGACACGTTAGAAGGCCTCACGTGTCGCTAGAGTCGTATTAGAAGGCCTCGCGTGGGAAACGTCACTGTCGCGTTCGTGACAAACACGATCGAGAAGGAACTTTCTCCTCAAAATCGAGTAACGCAGGAAAAATCAGCAATATTTACCTTGTAATTTATCGCGATTTAAATTAAATGATAACCGAGGAATTTATGGAACGGTTTCTTCAAATCGAGAATTGAAAGACAGAAAGGTAAAGCGCAAAATCTGCAAAAAATATATTCCGGAAAAAAGTAGATTTGGTTTTGCGCTCGAATACTTTTTTGTTCCTTTCATAGAAAATGATATAAATATTTTAAATTATGTAAATGATGAAACGGTTTATCGAAACATACCAATTTTCCTCACTTTTAATATGACGGTCGCTGGTATTTTCATCCTTTCAGCGAGGAGGCGGAAATGTTTGCCTCGCCTTTCAGTCTTTCGGCCTTTCAATTCGTCCGGGTGCACATGCTGCATTTTCCCAGAGTTTCCTTTCGGCATATATCTGTCGCTCATCAATTATTTCGCGTTCCTCCCGTCGTCGATACGTCGATGCGTTTCGTCACCGAGTTTCCTCGATCTCGGTTTAGCCGAGCTCATTTTTATTCATCGAGTCGCGTCGGGACGCCTCGGCGGCACGTCTGCCGATCGCACGACTCGGCCCGAAGCCGAGGTGACTCGCAACCCGGCGAAACGTCGGGACTCGAGAGCTTCTGCGGTTCGGTCCGCGTCGGCATAAGTTACGTGGGATCTCACCGCGGGTCGTAAATGTCTGTGATGGTTGATGGCGGCCGCAGGGACCAGAAGATGGGGTCAGCAGCGGTCTCCCGTCGCATGCGATCCCAAGCCGACGGACGTTATTCGTCTCGGAAAAGCAGCAGTACTCTCTCCCTACGCAGCATCAGGTACATCCCCGACCGGCGAGGCTGAGTGCAGTTTTTTCCTTCGGCAACCCGACAGTAGCCCCTCGACCCCCCTCCCCCTCCCCACTCGACATCCAACCCCGACCGTGGACTCAACCGACTCCCTCCCCCACAGCTCCGGAAGCAAGCCGGGGAGTCCCTCGAGCCGCGGCTCCTCGTCCAGGGCCTCCCTCCCCCCGATCAAGGACGACGGCCCGCGCCGGGCGTCCGCGCCCGACCCCACCCAACTCGCGAAGGAGAAGGAGAAGCCCCCGAACCTCGCCGGCATCCAACGGAAGGCGGAGACTCGTCGCACCTCCGTCGCCTCCCTCGAGGAGAAGAATCGCAGGCGCGCCCCGGTCCCTCCCAGGTGAGCGGCCGTGTCCGTTTTCCGGACGCATCTCGATATCTCAAAATATCTCAGTATAAATGCTGTACGCGGTACAAGCAGTAAAGAAAATTAAATGGGAACAGCGTTCCCTCGAGCTTTAAGAGGGGCAACGGGGACACCGTCTCCATAATTAAAAAAAATGCTGAAAAGGATGTGGAATTCAAGGTATCATCGAGGGCCAGTCAAAAAGTTCGGAACACATTTTTTTTTCCGGCAAAAACCTGCTAAGCCCGAGGTACAAGGATATGATGTCTTTCATACTAGTTCCATTCGGTAGTCACATCCTTTTCACCGCCGTCAACCAGTAGAGTGAAAAGGGGTTGCAGACCGTCTTTTGCAACCACCTTCAGTGCTGCCGTCGCGGTAGCTTCCACCTCCTCGACCTCATCGAAACGACGACGCGTGAGCTGAAACATTAGGCGCGGGAAGAGAAAAAAGTCGCACGTAGCTGGTCGTGGGTTGGACGTCCAATTCATGGTGCAGGGGGAGGGGAAGCATTTCAATGTTTTCGCGATACCATTCGTCGAAAACGACCGCGTGACGTGGAGTAACGGGGATGTGGAGAGTGGCTGCTACAGGACGACGATGCTCCGGCCCACGCATCAGTCACCGTGGCGACCAGGCGGCGACCAGGCGGCGACCCACCTCACGAAGCACAAGTCCACCCCCAACCCGCGTGGTCACAAAGTCCGGCTACGTGCGACTTCTTTCTCTTCCCGCGCCTCAAGTTTCAGCTTATGTCGTTTCGATGAGGTCGAGGAGGTGGAAGCTACCGCGACGGCAGCACTGAAGGTGGTTGCAAAAAACGGTCTGCAACCCTGTTATACGCAACTGTGTGACCGTAGTATAAACGATGTGACCACCCAAGGGAACGTGATGTATGAAGCATGAAGGACAGTATGAAGGACATCATGTCCTCATACCTCAGGCTTAGCAGATTTATCCTGCAAATAAATTACCTGTAGTTCCGGAACTTTTTGACTGGCCCTCGTATACCGTTCCCCTACTTCAACATGACTTTCGTCACTGGGTGTAAATATACGGTGAAGTGAGTACATGCGCCCAAACAGGGGTACCCCCGAACGCAACAACTCTGAATACTTTTCCAGTTTACGAGGGCAGTTCAAAAGTCGAACTGGATCGGAGTGGAATCAAACCGACAATCGTCTTTGCCCACTTCGTTACGATTTCACGATCCCAGGACTCATCGACGCGCTTTCATATCGAAAATTGCACGGACAAATCATCCCATTTAAAAATGAAAGTACGGGGACGTTATTACTCCCATGAAACAGCGGGATGAGTGGCAAATAATAATTTAAAAAATTAAAAACCGGAGCGACCAAGTAAGGTTTATCACTCTGCAAATTTTATGGGACTCTACTAGATGGGGAAGGTCACATCCAAAAGCAAATCTCGTGAAAGGTTTTATATCAATGACATCACTCCAATTAACTTCCCGTGAAAGGTACAGTTGGATATCAAGTAATGACACGATGCTTTACAATCGATCCCCCCCCCCCCATTCCCAATTTCAGCTGATGGTTAATTCAATCGAAGAGATCAAGGAGAACCGTAACGGAAATCAATGAGAGTAGAGGTGTGCCACGCATCAATGTAATGAGTTTCGGAGGGAAAGGGGTAATAGTTTCATTGCCATTGTGCATTACATTACAAAAGAACCTTATATGTAATGGGTCGACAACAGTGTAGGGTGACTTTCTTGAATGTAACGAGTGGAATGAAGTACGTAATGTATCCTTTGAGACTCAAGGACGACTTGCAACGCGTCTGACGAACGGTCAAGTAGAGAGAAAGGTTTTCCCAGCCCTCAGCAGATGGCATTGAAGAGGTTCATTAAATGGGAATTTTCCTTAAGGAAAAAGTGCCGAATGACGAACATGTGAACATGCTCGACACACCAGAACTTTCGATCAGGGGCTTTAAATTCGCCAAGCACGAAAAATTATTTTATCGCCTCGCAAATTAATAGCGGAAATATTATCGTCAGGGGCTTATTATTCATTATTCAAGGAATTGTTCTCCCTTGCGAACTTTTGCAGCAAGCAAACGGGAATAAGGGCTTCGAAGAGCGAAGACAACGTCCAGAGAATCACTAAGTATCGCAAGGATCCCATGCCCAGACCAGGTGAACATTCACATCAACTCCTCACAGTTATAAATTCCAGAACGAATAATTCAATTTTCTTTTGAACAGTCCCCACGAGGCCAGAAATAAAAGTGGAAAACAAGCGGAACAAAAACGTCAATGCAGGCGGCGGTGGTTATAACATTCGGATGACGAGGTAATCCACAAACGAACGCTACCCCCATGGGGTTCATACAGACCTTCCCAGAGCACGTCCAGAAGCATCACAATTTGAGATGAAAAAAAAGGAGATCTTAGGCAGTGTTACTGACAAAAGTAGATCGAGTCCGAAGTGACAACTTCGAAGTCGTGTGGATCCCTTTCGTCTTGTTCCCCTCGAGTGCAACTGCCACAGTGATGCTTTCTTTTTAAATGTTGTGCCCACTCAGACCCTTTCTAAATAAGAATTAAATCAATATTCGCAATGAAAGTAGAGATTCCATGGCGTATGCATCTGTGATAATCTCCCTGTATGCATGACATCGAGACTATGAATAAAGTTTGGACAGTGCTGGAATGACTGACAAAACAATGGAACATCAAATCACAGGATGAAAAATATTTCATTTTAAAAGCCATGAACAGAGGAATATAAAGCTAACTTTTTTGGGATAAAAATATGAGCTTTCTCAGATGAAAATATTGCAACACACTGGAAGTACCAGTGAATCCATGAGCGAAAATACAAATATACCCTTGAAAGACATGACAGGCCTAAGATAATTGTCTCTGAAGAATTCCTTCAACTAAGCAAGTATGGAATGTATCTGAAAAAAAGTAAAAAGATTTCCATATCAATAGTAGAATGTACTTCATATGATAATCACCCCCCCAGAGAGCTAAAATAACAAGAGCATGTCAAATCCCATCAGAGTCTAGAGGCCAGAGTAAGTGGACGTCAGTCGTTCAATTTTTTCTTGAGGTTCTCCATCAGCTTATCCATGAACTCAAATGTGTTCAGATAATCTCCCCTCAGCACGCTGAAAAAATAAAACAATAAAACTCTGTGAAGAAGCTGACACAAATTAATATCAAGAACCCAAACAAGAGGGTGGACTTACTGGTTCATGCCTTTGATGCAGATGGCCAAGTCCTTTGTCATGAAGCCAGCTTCAATGGTTTCAATGCAGGTTACCTCAAGTTTCTTACAGAAATCAGCCAGTGCCTGATTGTCATCCAACCTAGCTCGGTGAGCCAGACCTCTAGTCCATGCAAATATGGATGCTGCAGATGAAAAGAAACAAAAAAAACTCAGCAACAACTGTCAAACTCTTCCAGGGAAAATTGGAATCATCATCAGAAGCCATCTTTTTGTGACAGTATGGTATGCACCTAAGTACCTGCCATCTTTGATCAATAGGCCATGTGCCAATGAAGCAAGGGAACCAAAGTAGTCTCATAAACCTCAAAAAGAATTTTGGTAATGGCTTTAGATAAAAGTTGGAGTTCAATACATATGAAAATGCATATTCACAATGAATCCCTGTTAAGGTTGGGCAGCATACACCTCTTTGGCATGCACTAATGACATTGTAAAAACTGCTGATTGTTTTATGAAAATATCATACCAATGGGATTGGTCGATGTTTCCTGCCCTTTCTGGTGAACCCGGTAGTGTCGAGTGACGGTACCGTGGGCTGCCTCGGCTTCCACGGTCTTTCCATCCGGACACACCAGCACAGATGTCATCATCCCCAGTGAGCCTTTGAGAATGAGAGAAATTACAGAAGGAAGGCTAAGGAATGTATATAAAATGCAGTAAAGTAACTGAAACTCAGCTTACCATAACCCTGAGCAACAGTGTCACTCTGAACATCACCATCATAGTTCTTGCATGCCCAGACAAAACCTCCCTCTGACTTGAGGGCATATGCCACCATGTCATCAATGAGTCGATGCTCATACCACAAGTTCTTTGCTTCAAACTGTGCCTTGTATTCTCTACAATAGAAGAAAAACAACTGAATATTGGAAGAAACAAAATACAACAGCAATTACAGGATTTCCTGGAGGATGACAAACTTTTCATAAATTTCTTCAAAGATGTCCTTGAAGCGTCCATCATATTTCTTAAGTATGGTGTTCTTAGTGCTCATGTAAAGGGGGTAACCTCTCTCAAGCGCAAATTTGAAAGAGGAATGAGCAAAGTCTCGGATGGAAGAATCTGTGTTGAACATTCCCAGTGCAACACCACCCCCATCATCGTACTCGTGAACCAGATGCTTTTCTACAGTTCCACTTGGACTGGTATACACAAGCTCCACTTTTCCTCCTTCACTTGGGACCACGAAGTCTACAGCTTTGTACTGCACACAGAAGCATCTCATGTAAACATGACAACCTGTAAGACAGAGGCAATGAATAACTCAAGGGATACCTGGTCAGCATGAGCATGTCTGCCAATTATGATGGGTTTGAGCCAAGGTGTCACAAGACGTGGGATATTCTGGCAAATGATGGCCTCTCTGAACACAGTTCCCCCTAGAATATTTCGAATGGTCCCATTTGGGCTCTTCCACATCTTCTTCAACTTGAATTCTATTGGGGAATAAAAAGCAATCGTCACAGCCCAGAAGGAGCAATAGGGTCAGAGATAGAAACTGGCAAAGCCTACCTTCAACTCGCTTCTCATCTGGAGTAATGGTGGCACACTTTATGCCAACATTATACTTCCTGATGGCATAGGCACAGTCGACAGTAACCCGATCTTCTGTCTTGTTCCTGTTCTCAATTCCCAGGTCGTAAGTGTGAAGTTCCACATCCAAGAATGGCAAAATTAGCTTTTCCTTGATTAGATCCCAGATCACACTGAAAAACAAAATTCAACTATCACAAAATACTCCATGCTGACATGTCCAACAACAGAAGGAACAAACTGCACCAATTACTGACCGGGTCATCTCATCCCCCAGAACGTCCACCACAGGTCCACCTGAAAAGACAAAACCTGTGATGAGTATCATGAGCAACAGTAAAGAAGATGGAAGAGTAAGGTGAATGCAAGAACTCACAAGAAATCTTCCCCATGATTGTGCAATTGATGGATTTTCTGACAAAGGAATTTGTATCATAGCTTTAACAATTACCAAAGAAAGGGAAACCTCATTGATTAATGGGCTTTGAAGTCTGATGATGAAAAGATAAGCTGAGACCATGGTGGGCAAGTTTGCCTTGATATGTCTCCAAAGAAGAGGCAACATATGGTCTAACTCTTTAAATTAACTTCACTGCATGTCCTATTTTCAATTTATTAGGAATTGATTCCCATATGATGACAGAATGCAAACAAAGTAAATGCAGAAGGATAAGACAGACAGATGGCCACACATGTGCACAAAGGCAAGAAAAATGATGAATCAAAGGAAAAGATGATGACACCAGCATTTCCTTCCATAGTCTTGAATCAAAAAGGTTCTACTGGGAAACCTCTTCCTTTTCGTCTCTCTCCTCCTGCTCCCTGTGAAAATTGAGAACCTTGAAAGTTATCCTATTCTTAAAGAGATGGACAACGACTCGAACACACTCCACTCACTTTACATGGTCGTCATAAGGACCTTGACTGCCATCTTCATTTCCAGAGCCTTGTCGCTGTTTCGGCTTTGGTTCCTCTTCTTCATCCCTATCACGGTCTCGTCGTTTTCTCCTCTCATAATATTCATCATCGTTGTCCTTCTTCCTGAAATCTTCATCATCTCGCTCTCGCCTCCGATCCCGGTCCCTGTCACGATCTCGATGCCTGTCCCGGCGGTCGCGATCACGATCGCGGTCTCGGTCACGGTCGCGATCCCTATGACGATCGTCATCTCGTCGTTTCTTACGCTCATAGTCATCATCTTCCTCTCTACCAAAATATGAAAGTGCAAGATAAGATGAGCAACAGATACCAGTCTGAAAAAGGACATTTTGCTTCATACATAAAAAGCAGGGTTGTACCGATGCATCCGCAATCACCGGCATCGGCCGACGAACGGAAAAAAAAATCACGATAATTCGGCTGGGGAAGTGAATCAACAAAGAAAAAGTTAGGCCGCCACGATGCATATGTATCGATGTTACTATCGATGGTCTTTTTAACCACCCCTCCCTCCTCTTCTTCACTGACGATTGATGACGGAATATAGAGGCCCGCGCCCCTATCGAACCCCCCCCCCCCTCAACGAAATGCATTGATACACCATCGATCGACACATCAATGTTTTCCAAAAAGCCATCGTAACAGCCCTAAAATAATAAGTTGATCATTCCTTTCTAATAAGCCTATTTCAATAAACTTTTCATGATTCCAAGCTCTTCATCTACAAGTCACAATCGGCACTGGCATCAGCACCGGGAAATGAGTATGAGATCATAATAGGCAATCGACTCATCGGCTAAATGCGGCCATCGGTACAACCCGATAAAAATTTGTATCGAAATTGGACTGTACCTCGCGTACTGAGAGCGACTGCGAGAACGAGAACGAGGCTCAGAAGAACGGTGGCTGTTGCTGTGACGAGAATGAGATCGACGATCACGATCTCGATCTCGATCTCGATCCCGATCCCGATCACGATCACGGTCACGATCACGGTCACGATCACGATCACGATCACGATCCCGATCACGATCCCGATCCCGATCCCGATCACGATCACGGTCATAGTCCCGACCTCGGTCCTCCCTCCTCCTATCGTCCCGAGCACGGTCAGCATCCTGCTCACGACCTTTCAACTCCTTCTCTCTTTCCCATGCCTTCCGTCGCTCTTCTCGCCTTGCCTCCACTGTTTTCTGTGAGGCACCATCATCGCAACCCATAATATTGCCCCAGTTCATAACTTTATTATAACCTGCTCATGCTCCTCAAACTCACTCGAAGTTCATCAAGCTTCTCCCTGATGCGGATAAATCCGATGTGTAGCTTTCCTCCAAAGTGATCGGCAAGTCGTCGGTCATTATCGTGGATGCCAAGATATGCAGAGCAGACCTCACAGACTCGTAGCTTCTGTTGCTGGTACGTGCTGGCAGGCATCGCAGCACGGTAATCCTGCTCGGCTGCCGCCTTCTCCTTGCGGGTTTCCTCCACCTGTGTTTCGTGTGCAGTTTTCCAGGAATAGGATTGGGTGAAGGGAGGAAGGGAAGGATGGAAGAAGGAGATCCGGATAAAGGAAAAGAAGAAATCAAAGGAAGGCAAAAAAAAAAGGAGGATGGAAAAAAAAAAGGGGCATGGAAGAGAAGCATGCCAATGTCACTCTGCAAACCTCACTACTCTCCATACCAATGCCTAAAAACCTCGAGGCAAATTAATGTCCCTGAGGCTTTCTTATTTCAATCGACTCCTATTCAAGAATATTATTCTTGAATCGCTGGATGTCTTTAAAACAAAGTGATCCAAGTGCATTATCATGCTTTACTTTTTTCGAGATAACACCATACTTAGCAATATCAGCTCCTTAGAGGCACTTCCAAGAATATAAGTGGCACAGCTGAGTGTCATGGTGACTAAAAAAACTGACTCATACAAAGGAGACATTAATAAACTCATCAGCAGGTTAGGAACTGGAAAGTGTAAATTATGGTCTGACATGCATTACAAGAAGTAAAAAAAGAGAAGAAATTCATTCAGTAAAGCCAACAGTTCATTATACCTGAGTTCGATAAGATTAGACTCCACTGCATCACAAATGAGGCTGCAGAATACAATTCCTTAATGCAAATTCCCATCCATCACATTACAGTTTATATTAATAAATGGAATCCAAATTTGGAGTACTTAATCCCTTTCCATTCAATTGGCAAGGAAGGTACTGCTGCTCAATGATTGCTCAGTACCACTGAATGTCCATGCCACCTCAAGCCACTTTAATTTCTCCAGACTGAGACTAAAAATCTCATGAAAAATTCACTTGGATCACTCCAGCAACTGATAATGTGACTGCATTACAAATTCACCCATATACAATTGTAAAATTTTCTCCTTTGTCCCTGTCATCAATGCAAAGAAGAGATTCAAAAGGGCTTAGTAAATGCCACCCATCCATAGATCCTAATTTGTATTGCAAATGGCAATACCTGACAAGAGCTTTGGAAGGCTAATACTGCTTCTGATCTTCAAGAACAAAATCTTGGCTATAGGCCTTCACGTCAGGGTTCCATGGCAAGTTGAACATTATAAACCTGAGCTCCAGCATACACAAGGGATGCCATGAAATGAAACCTTTGAAACCATGACAAGACATCCATGCCTCCTTCAATTGGTACCAACACCTACTTTTCAACATCTTCAAGAACAATTTAGCCCTTGACCATTTCTGAACAATCTGAATCAATAATTAGCCATGCACCATGGATGAAGGCAAGGACATGAATAAAGACAACATTTTGACGAAAGACGTACCCATGTAACACGTACCGTATACGAGCCTAGCGAGTACACAGCTACAGTGTGTCTGTCACCTGAAGAGGAGGCTTTGAGTGACTGAAGAATGGGGAACTGACTGACCCACCCTTCCCCCTTCATCTTACACAACTCACCAACATGCCCATGACGATTCCTTTGCGATTCTCTTTTGAAAACTCACAGATGACTCCCTCCACTTGAATTGTGATGATACTGATGAGATGAAGTCTTTAGTTTTTAGAGGTAAAGATAAAGTATAACTCACAGGTGGATCACTTCCTGTCACCAAAGTCCCCATTCTCACGTCCCAACTCAAAATGTGAACTATGGTAGCAAATGGATTTCCCTTCTATTTTGGAATCTTTTTATAGCCCCCATGAGATCAGATTCAGATTATTCACTCGCAGAAACATACCATTGCTGCTAGATGACCATGAGAAATGGATGGGATCAGAGAAGGGACATGTCTGCGGACCAATTACTTGCAAATCAGAATGATTCAGCAAAGTGGTAATAATAAAGGCATTCATGTATGAATAAGCAGACACGTCCCTTCTCGTGTGGGTGCTTCCTCAGACTTGGAGGACAAGAGAGAATCATGATGAAAAGTAAGCAACTCACAATCCCAGTTCCCCTAAACAAACTCAAAGCCTCTTCACCTTTTGCTCTTAGTTCTGAAAGTCAGAGAAAAGAAGAGAACTGCCATCAGCACCACCAGCAAGGAATGAAGATATGGCAGGTTCTCATGTCAAATGCATACACAACATGACTTTCATTTCTAATTTAAAATGCAGAGGTCTTCAGAAAAGCCTTCAGCCCCATAAATAAAACACAAGATATTGAGATTAAGAGATTTTTATTCTTAAAGAAACTTTCAAAATAAACCCCATTTGTCTAATTACCAAACCCAAGCGATGTGGCAGTATTTTTCAATTCTTTTAGCCTAGTCCTTCCTATGGATCTCCTTAACAAGTCTGCCCAGAGGCTCTTCAAGTTCTTGCAGGTCACCATAGCAATGGTCATGCATAGATGCCTTCAAAATTTGTAACAGGCCAGAGTCTGGGACACTCAGGTGAATAAACACATTGTGGGAAACAACTTCTCCGTCAAAATTCTCCAAAACTGACACAGCAAAAGTTGGCTCTTTTAGGGAATGCATTTTCATGCAGGATGAGTCTCCACAAGCAATTTAGAATACTTTCTTAAGATCACTAATCTCAAATGATCACACAAATATTTTTTATAGTATTATTTATAAACTATCTGACGTGGTAATGAACCACAAATCCAAGAAAAGTGTCATGAGTTGCTCATGATAAAACCATTAAACCTACATGATCAGGAAATCCCCAAGGAGGGCTTGGCCGAGGGAATTAAAAAACTGTCACATCGTTGGGATTTGATTATTAGACAGATGAAGGAATACATTGAAGGTTTCCGTGAGAATAAATCTCTGCATCTCATTATCTTGAACTTTATGAGGGAGGCTGGGAACTTTTCTGAAGACCCTAATATATTTGTGAAGCAAACATGGCTACAGTTCATCATAGCGAAGAATATCTGCTGACAAATATCAGCCATTGGGTTTTTGAATATGATATCAGTATCACCTTTTCATATCATTGAGAAATTGAGGATGAAGAGGGGAACATGTGGCAATGCTGGAACATAATGTAATCATTCTTTTCTAACCTATAATTCTTTGTCACAATTCACAGAAAGAGTTTGAAAACCAGATCCTTTCTGGATCCCAATAGAGAATGGATTGGACTCAAGAATACTCATCATGGGTACCATGGGTTTGCCCAAAGTATTTGACAGAATTTGCTCATTTACCTTTTGCAGTGAATTGTGATATGATGCTACATATCTTCCAATCTGGTGAATATCATCATCCCAACAAGACTCCTAACAAGAGCTTTCTGTCTTCCCAATCAAGTGAAATATTCTGGAAGGTATGAGTGGCTAGAGTCTTACCTCCTCCATGAGCTTCATACTTTCTTCCACTTGCCCTTCTTCCCCAAGCTGCTCTGCTCTTGCAAGCTTCTTTCCAATCTGAGCAGCTAAATCATGAACTCTATTGGCCTTTGCAGCAACTTCTGCACTAAGTTCCTCCTGAGTCTCTGCAAGACGTTTCTTTGCTTGCTCTGTTCTCTTGTCACAATCTTCTATGAAACTTTGTAAGTGCTCCATTGCCTAAAAGTCATCAAAGAACATTTCATCATTGATCAAACTAAAATACTAGATATAAGAAAGAAACCTGACATACTAGTCATGATCATTTCAGGCAATAGCATTAAAAACTTTTGCCTTTCATCAAAAAAACTTACATCGATGTCATAATAGTAGTCTTTCTCTGTGGATGCTCTCTCATAGTCCGCTTTCAAAGCAACATCGTGAACCTTTGGACATTCTCCAAGATCCATTCTCTAGGCAAGTGAAGAAAAAAACAGGATCAAACATGAATACAATCTGATACATAAGCATGGCAGGCATTTAATCTTGTTTCTCAACAGAAGAATTATTAGGGTGATGGGCAGAAAGCCCTCCACTTATCACTAACTGACATTGACTCTTGTCCTGTAGAAAAGAGAACATTCTCTTCAACTCACTGTAGATGCAAGGAGGTCATGTGGGCAACAGGCAAGAAGGAAGCTTTTGCAGACTCTTGGATCTGAGAATTTCACCTTCTGTGAACTCAAATCTCCTGTAATAGTATAGTAATTATTTACATAACATGGTCATTTCTACATTTTCTATCACAGATCATTGCTGCAGGATGAGAAATATGGCCCAGTCATATAAAATGGGTCATTTCCATGCAACAAGTAGGCTAGCCCAATACATTTATGCCTATCCTTTACAACCTCAAGTGGAAATAAATCCTACACGCCCATGGGAAAATGAAGATGGCTCACTAACCATCACGCCCAGTTCCCATCAACTGGTCAAGCATTTGACGCATCTGGTCCACAGCTGACATGGTGACTTGCTCCTTTTAAGGCTCACACTATATGATGAGAATAGAGTTTATGGACCATACAAGGCCTTTAGCATCAGGCTGACCAGTTCCACCTTCCTCTATAAGATTATAAGCACCTGTAGCTATAGGTAAAATCACCTGCAATGATGCAGGTCCTGGAAGAAAAAGGAAAAAAACATCAGAACCCAACTCTTCAGGGATAAAGACACATGACTAACTCAATTGCAACAGATAGCCTAATATTGTTTTTTTTTCCATTGTACTTTGAGACTGAAATTTCATTCAAGTCAAACAGGTTTCCCTAAAGGTGAAATAGTGAAGGGCAAACTCCAGGATATAGAATTCACTTCTTCACTGCCCAGCCTCATCCTTCAGATCAGAAAGGGATATGAAAAAAAAGAAGAAAGTATTGGTGTTAGTAGCAAGAGGTGATAGCAAGTCAGTCAGAGATCCTTGGCACTGGCTACAAAAGGTTGACTTAGGTTCATCAATATGCCTTCAGTATGGTCAGGGGCACAGGGACACACAGGTTAGAGCTTGCGTTTAGCAATCTGATACAGTGGTCTCTAGAAAATAAAAATAAAAATAACACTGAATCTTTGCTTTGGGGCAATGTCAGAAAAACCAGTGAACTTTTTGAATTTTATTTTGTGCAGGCCAACTGGATATGTATGGAGTGTAAAAATTTGCATCACCAAATGGAATGTGATAACAGGAGTATATTATTTTCTGAGTGGAAAAAATTTAAATATTAATAGGAGGCTTTGGTGCAATGAAAGATTAGGAAAGGGACCAGAATGAAGAGACATTACAATTGCCCTTTTTAAGGCCATGTTCATTATCCCAATTCCCCTTTCTCCTTCCTTCCTTAGATCCAAGATTTGTAGGATAACAATGGACCTTTTTATCTTTACACCATCTCTGATTATGATTATGCAAAGGAAAAACCTCAAATACATTAGGTCTATATACAGGGTGAGTCAAAAGGCAATGAACAACTTTGAACAGCTATAACTCGGAGAGGATGGCATTCATTTGCAAACTGTTTTTTGCGTAGGAAAGAGCATGCAGCAATTACCAAATATGCAATGTTGAAAAATAATATAAGTGATTTATTTAACGTAAAAATGACTGTAATTACTGGCCATGATATTGAACGCCATCAAGCTCAATCATGCAAGCTGTCACTGAAAGGCAAAACCAACGATCTTCTCAGTGATGTGTTGCTTCAGTTTGATGATTGAGTGTGAATTGTTGGCATATACCTGGTCTTTAAATGAATCTCTACAGCCAGAATTAGAGTGGAGTCAGGTCTGATGACATTGGAGGCCACTTGACAGGCCCAACCCTGCCTATCCATCTTTCGTCAAAACAAAACAACGCTTCACTTTGGAAAGATTTCCTTGACAAATACAGAAGAAATTAACAATGGTGACACGTCCCTCCAAATAAAGTTTATCAGCATTATCAAAATACCATTTGGAGCACCAAAAATTAGCTGGAAAAAATCGCATATAGGGGGTCTGTTGTACCCTAAATATCACTTTTGTTGAAAAATATTGCTTTTTGTTTTGTGCAGGAACATACCATTTCTTATTTGTAATTAATGAAAACATCCATGTTGTTTCTTCAATTAATGCATGCTCTTTCAAATGCAAAAAACCATTTGCAGATTAATACCTTTCTTGCTGAGTTATAGCTGTTCAAAGTTGTCCAGTGACTTTTGACTCACCCTGTATGGAACAAATACCAAGGCCAACTTCTCTAGCTCTCCCCAACTTTGTTTATAAATATGACTTATCAAAAGGTTTCATGTCTTTATACTTGAGGCATAATCTCACTTATTTCCTGTTTGTGATTGGACTCCATATTGATGTAAATATAATCAATCAGAACCTTTTGAGTAAAAAAAGAAAAACTCAGGTCTGAAATTGTTTTGAGACAAGCTAAACAAGCCCATTATAGTCGTGGGCTTCCTTTAGATTATTTTTTTGAATAGGAAAAATATATGGAAGCAGGTAGAAGTTAGAGGATTGGAGGAAAATATGGCACATGAAGCAAGAATTTAGCTAGAAATTCTATGGTGCCACTTGCCTACCCATTTTCCATATTTCAACAGTAGCTCCATCAGAAAGAAAATCTGGAAGGGAAACGACAGCTCTCTTTGGTAAAATGACATCTTGACTTAGGCTAAGTGCAACACATACAGCTTCAGATCAAGATCCAGGAAGGTTGACATTTCAGTGGAAGTACTCCCACTATGACTAAATTTTTTAATTAAAATTCATTATAGAATAAAATTCATTATATTTCAGTTTTTTCTCACAAATTTTGGCAGAAACTTAGCCTCTATCAACCTGCATGCCAATTTTCTCAGTGATCAGTTCAATATTTTCTTAGTTGTTGTCAGGCAACCAAAAGTACAAGAAAGGCAAGGACATCTAGACAGATGGGACAGGGCTATAAGTGGCCTTTTTTCTTTCAGTAAAAATATCTAACAAGAATGGGAAGACATATATAATGGAGACTGCAGTGAAAGAAGAGTTTCAATAAAATAAAATACTGACATGAACTAAGACATTTCATGACATGATGAGAGCCAAAAAGAAAATGAACTAGAGTGCTTAAAGCCAAAGCTCCATGCATTTCAAAACAGATCTTCATGCAAGCTTCCAAGGAATGACAGGCATGGGTGGTGAACAAGATTGATGAAGTCTCTAAACATAGATATTTTAGAATGAATGGTCATGTAGGTATAAATTATATTCTTCGGGTAATGGGTCATAAGTTCTACTTCAGACTTTGTGCATCAGCATCAGCAGGGCATATCAGTCTCACCAATATAAAATTTTGAACAAAGTGAACATATGTAACTTATTAACATTCTGTGTAAGGGTCAAGAACCCATGCAAAATAGGCCTATTCTTTTATAGTTAGACATTTTAGCTGGAACACCTACTACCTAGTTACAACTACAGGTACATTGAATTCTTTCTATTTTCTTTCCACACTGTTCCTCAAACTAAACGCGCAAGGAGCAGCTTCATCTTTAGCCATGTATTCCATACAATCACTACCCTAAAAGAAAGGAAGTTACTCCGCAAGCCGAGTCACTTGAGACTTGAAACACTTCTACTGGTTTCCTCTTGTTCTGCTCTTCACGGCGTCGGGAAACATGACGGAGTTCTAAGTTATCGATTTAACTTCTCTCAAACAAATACGAGTCGCACCACGTCTAACGTTAAAAGCTCGTCACGTTTTGTCGTATACTACCACGATTTCGGTAGCTCGCATCTACATCCTCCCAGCACCATTAAATACCTTATTTGGAAGTTTCCAAAACTGAATACTTTTGTCAAAATTCGGTACTACTGGAGCTACTTATTACGTAATAATATAATATAATCCAATATCTAATTCCATTGAATACCGGAAGAAGCATAAAATCCTGCTACGTTCAACTACCGTCGCATGCGCGTGCTCAACGAATTGCAACTCCCCATCATTCATGAACCGTTATTGGATGCTGCAAATTGTTTAGCCAATTCCTGGCTTCTGAAAACCCTTCCATGGTCCTACCGGCCATCCAGAGTCCCTGAATTTGCAGTACTTTTTGACAAAGAATGAACATACACCGTGGCAGACAGACCGCATACAACATCGTCGTCATCGCGCATGCTCCTAAGCTCTCCATGAACAGGGATGCTCAATCTAGTCAAATCGAAATGGGTATTTTATACTCTAATGCACGAGAAGTTCATGGAACTTGCAAAAATTCTTCATTGAAGAGATTGAAGATTCAGAAATGCAATCATTTTTAAAACGTCAGCTAAGCTTTTCCATAATCTATTTCACTTGACGCCCACACAGTCATACAAATTTTTGGAATGTAACATCATAGATGGAAGCGTCATGATAGAATCATGGTGCCTTACAGAGTTAATAAACTCGTATCTCGATCGCCAGTTTCCACGAGATGTGAAATCGAGGATAGTGTTTATCCTTGTGTCTCTGGAGCCAGTTACACCTGGAACGTCTTTCTGCACCCCCAGCTGTAAAGGAAGCGCGTGCACGTAACCTGCTGTGGCTACTTTCTATATTTGACAAATTCGTACTCTAGATCTCCAGAGGCCATTATATACGGCATACGCATTAGTCAAGGGTCAATTAGTGTCAATGGGATAATGAGAGATTAAAGAAGCCCTAAGTATAAATCATTCTGAGAAGTGAACCTCTGGCTTAGTTGTGGAAGTACTTAACCTCAATTGTCTTGCTTTTCCTTTCCTAGTTAATACTTCATGAACTGTCAGCAATACTTTTGTTTCTGATTGGTTATCAACTGATAGTGCATGCTTCATTTTTTTTTTAACAAAGTAAATCTCCTTTGATTCAGTCAATTCCCCTCAATTCCTGGAATTGAGGTAAATCGATATTGAATGAACTTATTTGGTAGAATTTTCCAGGACATAATGGAATATTAGTGTTGTCATACTGCATTATTTAGGCTAATTAAGTAATAATACTGACACTTTCATATTCCAAACTTTGTAATCTGTAGTTTTTCATGGAAGTCAAAAATATTTATGAAAACGTTGCTATTTCATAGCCTAATTTGGTAACTGTCTCATTGAAGGGTATCATTGTTGACCACTTAGCTGAAGAATTTCTGCAGGATGGTGGCAGGCTGGGTGGGTAGTTTTTGAAATTGGCATGAATGGCAGTCCCTTGTTTTCAAATCCCTTGATGAGTATACTCATTCTTATCACACAGGAGAAAGGCCTTGACGAATATACTCATCATATTCAGTTAAGGAGTTAACCACAGCTCACTTCTTACCATGGATTGATGAATTTTGACCTAGAAATCTAGAAAGATCCACAAATTAATTATTGATTTTAACCAAGTTATGATTACCTTTACAGTGATATGTCTACTTCATAAGTCTAAAATAAGAATTTTGGTTTGGAGTATTTAACAGAGAGATGCACTATGTTTGTCAAGGTACCTGTACCACTGAGATATCACCAACCCCAATTGAACTGCTGAGGCGCAGACTAAGGTGCAGAAGATAGGCATAGCATCTGGGAGTGAGGATATTTGCTAGATACCTAGGATTGCATTGAATCCAACTTGATCTAGTTGGGCACTGATAGTAACTACTTTAATCAGTGCAACACCTTCCCAAAGGTTAATAAAGATGCAGGCAATCAAGTGTGTTGTTGTTGGTGATGGTGCTGTTGGTAAGACGTGCCTTCTCATCAGCTACACCACCAATGCTTTCCCTGGAGAATACATTCCCACTGTGTGAGTTTATTTAACCTTCTGGTGCTCAGTGATCCATTATGATTTTGGAATGACTTCATAAATTTCTGCCTTTAGCAACCCTTCCACAATATTTTTTTTAATGTGCTGTCAGACTTATGAAATGGTCTTTCATCTATACATGATTTTCATTGGCACCAAATAAGGTATAATATTATTATTTAATACTGATACTTTCATATTGAATGGTTCTTTTTAAAACAATTTTGCATTCTGTAGGATTTCCTACTTGCATCAAATTCAGATGTTCTTGTGAGTAGTTTTTGGCCTTAAAAGAAGTAGCGTAAAATGAAAATTTGTAAAACATGCTTCTGGCGTGACTGAACCATAGCTTCTCAAGTTTTGATAAGAGGCGGGTGAGTGGTTTTGTCAGTAAGCATGGCCTCCCTGGCAGGGGACCCAGCATGCAAGGCAAGGAAAATCCTTGAGCGCATAAATCTCTGATCGGGAAGTGTGGCTGAAAAAACCCAAGTGATGGATGCTGAGCCCAGGAGGCATTTCCCTATCTCAAATCATCTGAAATCAAACTAGGTCTCCCTAAAGATCTAAAAAGTACCTTTCCCACCCCACATTATCCATGACATAATGATCATAAAGGACCTAATGAAATCCGCATAATTCTGTAATGATATTTCCAATGTGTTCAGAAAGAAGCATTTCCAAAGTTTGTAATCTTGAGCAAAAAAATTCCATTAACCTATTGCAAATATCCCTTCCTCTTGATTTTCACCATGACTGTGTGCCTCTTCTGTGGAGTTATGGGAAATGAAGTGTGATGTCTCTCACCTGTTCAAGTTCTAATGTTAATATCATCCTCACTGTTGTATGAGACAGTGACTGAAGCTTAAAAGGAAGCCTACTTTTTTCTACCTGCCTTTATAAGCTTCAGCTGTTATTTGCAGAGACTGATGTTGAATTGTCATATCAACATGGAAGAGCACATGCAGTGTGAGAATGGTGTAGTAGCCAATAATGTCAGTTCCATTCTATTATTTCTGAGGATGAGTGAAATCATGTTCTTGTCAGGATCTGACAGTCTCATAACACCTGGAACTGGATCTCATCAACAGGTTCGACAACTATTCAGCCAACGTGATGGTGGATGGAAAACCCATTAATCTTGGACTTTGGGATACAGCGGGGCAAGAAGATTATGACCGTCTGCGACCCCTTTCTTATCCACAAACGGTAGGCCTTAGTGCCGATTATGGATTCTCAGAATCATCTCTCTTTTTTTTCGTAATTGCATCATCCACACTATCTCCACTAGAATGAAGATTAATACTTCCAGATTAGGGCTGGTTGGGTCTTTTTTTTTTTCTTAAACCAAGGTTATTTTGAATTGTAAATTTTTTTGCATGCATTCCAAATGCTTGATCTGCTTTGCCAGGCTTAAAGGAACCTTGACGGTTTTATCTAGATATGTGCATATTCCCTATTGGATTTGATAGAAAAGTGGTTCAAATAAAGGTGAAGTGTTAGCAGCACAAATAGGCATTTACCCTGTTCTAACCATTCAAAGTAGATCTTATAATGGGGAGCCTGTTTTTGCATCATGGCATTGTCAACTGATGATAGGTCTTGGCTAAATTACCTGCTTTGATCCAACCAATGAATATGAGATTACATTTTTCATGAATATGTTCAAGTAACTTGCATCATTCACCTACCAAATCAGGAAGTTTGCCTGGAGCAAAAAGTTTTTGAAAGTGAAAGTATTGAACTGGTTATCCATAATGAAGTTTCATAAAACTCTTCATGTGTAAAAGGTTTGATATTACTGGTGATTATTGATGGATTTCTGTTAGCTGTAATTTCATCCCTTTTTCCCTTCAGGATGTGTTCCTGATTTGCTTCTCATTGGTCAACCCTGCCTCCTTTGAAAATGTCAGGGCGAAAGTGAGTTTTTTGGCTATTATTTGTTAGGGCGTAATTTGACATTACTAAGAGGTGATATATGAAAAGAACATGGATGAAGCTTGGTGGAACTGTACTACCTTGACCATGAATGAAGAAAATTAAAGTTGGTGAGAACAGATTTAATATCTCGAGCAGAAATGGAACTGTAGATCTAAGTGAACTCTGGTGAAGAAAGTTCTTCTCAAGGTATTTCACCATTCATATGATCTATCCAACCATTAGCAAAGAATGCAGTAGTATGCTTCAAGCCTATGAATTTCATGAAGTCAGAAATTTGTTATCCCTTGAATCATACCACCACACAAAAATGCTACATGCTTCCATGGTCTTGCCCTCAGGCCTCTCCTTACTGATGGAAAACTATGCTAAGTTTCATGTTGCTTGACTTTGCTTTGCAAACTCATTAACTAAGTCACCACTTTCCAATGAATTATCAAAGATTCATTGTTATATCCTTTAGTGGTATCCCGAAGTTAGACACCACTGCCCTCAGACACCCATTATTCTGGTTGGTACCAAGTTGGACCTGCGTGAGGACAAGGAAACCATTGATAAGCTGAAGGATAAAAAGCTTTCTCCCATCTCGTATCCACAGGTAATTTTTTCCCATTTTTTTCCATGTTCATCTGGGAGGGTATTTCATTAAAGCTGTTCAATAGAAAAATTACAGCATTTTTTCAATCATAGCTAAATTGAATTTAAGGTGTAATCTATCATGAAAGCTTAACTGGAGATATATAAATGCACTAATTCATTGATATTGAGTGAAACTTTGATTATATTGTTTTGCAGGGCCTAGCCATGGCTAAGGAGATAGCAGCAGTTAAATACTTAGAATGCAGCGCCCTGACCCAGAAAGGATTGAAGACGGTCTTCGATGAAGCCATCCGTGCCGTGTTGTGCCCAAAACCAAAGCCTAAGCCAAAGCGCAAGTGTTTCATCATGTGAGAGACAGCTGGCAGTTTCCTTGCCCACCACCCTCTATCCTTTCAGTTTTATAGCAAATGAAACACTATTGAAGGCTCAGAAGTTCTTCGTAATTGTACTGTACTAATGTGGATAGAAGTGAAAGGCAAGGAACACCTGGCCAATGTGTCCCATCCTGCAGGTCAGTTATTACGGTCCATAGGGAAGATGGCGACATGGTGAATAGTGAAACATTGAGGCCTTCACCTTTTTCGATTGGGGACTGTTGGCTTTGCTTGTTTGCATGTTTTGCCATTACTTTGTTGCCATTGGTTTATATTTTATAAGTCATTTGAATAATTGTCTGATTTCTTGGTAATTGTCTCATATTCCTGTGGCATTCAGAGTTTACCTGATTCTTCTTTGGAGTTGGAATGAACGAACAAAGATGTTTGGGATATACAGCAAGAACAACTATGCATATTTATTCTCATATCACTACAATCACTCTCACCCAGTTCTGCCACTCTGACAGGTGACTGCTACATTTGATCACCAGTGATACTTGTAGTTTTTGTGTTCACCTGTAAAAATTTAAGAAAAATCAAGTCAATACAACAGTTGATAGATAACCAAAGTAAATAATACAAGCAGTATTATAAGCTAGAAAAAGCATGAAAGTATTACTTGAAGATTGAACTCACAAACAAATCACAATTCATTATGGATGCAATGGAAGCAACTTACGGATTTTCCCCATGTTATTGACATAGAAGAAGATCATGATGCACCAGACAATTTGCACAGTTGGAGCTATCCCTGTTCCTTTTGGGAACATCCATTTATGTTGGTATCTCCACCAACCTAATAATGAAAATTTCATACATTCTTAAAAGATTAAAAGAAAACACACACTGACAAGAATGTCATGCTGAGCACCTAGCTTAACCCCTTAACTGGGGAAGATGTCTTTAGATGTTCACAAATATTGCATACAGGTGGGATGGGCATCTTTAGACTTTTCTGCAAGATGGTTCAGTATTTCTGGGAATTCTTCGCTTTGGGTGGCTTAGGTGTATCCTGTGCCCTTCTGACAGGATGTGGCTACTCATCTTCAGCCTTTCCAAGTGGCTGTCAAATATTAATTCTACCTGATATGTCAACTGTTTAACTGCAATACCATCATGTGGGAGGAGAACTCCAAGGCGAGCATCATAGAGACGGTATCTATCTTCACTACTAAATTTCAGAATGTTTATGTCTGTCTGTCCTTTATGCATGGCCATGCCTCTGATCCCTGTCCGACCGAACTTTGCATGGCTTCTTCATTTGGTCCAAGGATGATCATAGGTTAGGTGGCGTTTCAAAATTCGGACCCCCTAGGGTACCTTCGCTAGTCTGTAATCAATTTGCTCTTGAGTGTCAAGAGTGAAGATTCAATTGAAGAAGAATATGAAGGAATATCAAATGATGCAAGCAGAGACAACAGAAGCGAGGACTTAGAGATTCACAGAGGTGGTGATTGTGATATACTTACCTGTACTGGATTCATGTGGCTGAGGAACACCCGCCACTTAAATCTTCAGTTCAGAGCGATTTCCTGATAGAATTTTGTGACAGAAAAAGACACTATTGATGTCTTTGAGGCTCCCCTCATGATGGGCTTGCTGTCAATATAGCAGAGCAAACCTATCTCTATGACAAACAGCACATAAGAGGATATGCTGCTTCTGGTGGACAGCAACCTTGGAGACGGGACAAGGACGGCACTAATGGATAGGCAAGAAAACCCATGATTGGTCTATTAATTTTCCAAGGAATTGTGCAGAAGTCTATGAATGGTATGCACTTCTGCAAGAAGAGGATCATGAAGACATCCTTCTTTGAAGAAGTCTTGTAAATAAAAAAAAGTGATTTCAAAGCGAAGGTGAAGACCTCCTCTCTTTCTTGTTCTTCAATAACAATAATTTTGATCCAGAATCTGATCCCAATCCAAGACTGTTCAAGATTTTTCCCTCTCCGGATTAGGTTGTNGGAGCTATCCCTGTTCCTTTTGGGAACATCCATTTATGTTGGTATCTCCACCAACCTAATAATGAAAATTTCATACATTCTTAAAAGATTAAAAGAAAACACACACTGACAAGAATGTCATGCTGAGAACCTAGCTTAACCCCTTAACTAGGGAAGATGTCTTTAGATGTTCGCAAATACTGCATACAGGTGGGATGGGCATCTTTAGACTTTTCTGCAAGATGGTTCAGTATTTCTGGGAATTCTTCACTTTGGGTGGCTTAGGTGTATCCTGTGCCCTTCTGACAGGATGTAGCTACTCGTCTTCAGCCTTTCCAAGTGGCTGTCAAATATTAATTCTACCTGATATGTCAACTGTTTAACTGCAATACCATCGTGTGGGAGGAGAACTCCAACGCGAGCATCATAGAGACGGTATCTATCTTCACTACTAAATTTCAGAATGTTTATGTCTGTCTGTCCTTTATGCAAGGCCATGCCTCTGATCCCTGTCCGACCGAACTTTGCATGGCTTCTTCATTTGGTCCGAGGATGATCATAGGTTAGGTGGCGTTTCAAAATTCGGACTCCCATGGAAGCGATCAGACATTAGTTAAACGAGAACTCACAGTTCTCACTTCTAAGTTAACTTCTTCTTATACTTCCTTATAGTTTACTACGTTCGTCTCTGTTGTCTTCGCTCCTGAATCTCTAAGTGTGAGGTGGTGATTGTGATATACTTACCTGTACTGGATTCATGTGGCTGAGGAACACGGCGGTGAATTTAGAAGTCAAGTCTCGCTAAAGGACTATCTTAAAACACTGTCTTTTTCTGTGATAACTACAGAAACTCCGAGGGGAGTACTACCCGAACGACAGTTATATCGTCTCGTTTGGATAGTCTATGACAAACAGCACATAAGAGGATATGCTGCTTCTGGTGGACAGCAACCTTGGAGACGGGACAAGGACGGCACTAATGGATAGGCAAGAAAACCCATGATTGGTCTATTAATTTTCCAAGGAATTGTGCAGAAGTCTATGAATGGTATGCACTTCTGCAAGAAGAGGATCATGAAGACATCCTTCTTTGAAGAAGTCTTGTAAATAAAAAAAAGTGATTTCAAAGCGAAGGTGAAGACCTCCTCTCTTTCTTGTTCTTCAATAACAATAATTTTGATCCAGAATCTGATCCCAATCCAAGACTGTTCAAGATTTTTCCCTCTCCGGATTAGGTTGTAAAGCTGTTCCAGGATATATAGCATAACTCCTAAACCATTGAATTGTCCTGATGAATCCCTACTCTTATGGAAGGACCCTTTGACCATCCTTTCAAATGTAGGGGTTCCTCTCCCAGGCGAAACCATACCTCAGCATGGTCTAGTCGTTTAGGTGGTTATCCAAAATCAGTTTATAGTAGTATATATAGGTACGTTCTACTCGGAAACTGATAAGCACACAGTGCCCATCCACACTCCCAGTAAATAGGGTTCCATAATTTCTTCCTGTTGCAGAATTATTGAAAAAGTACAGCTCTCTCATTGCCCTGTGCTGATGGCAAAAAACTACCCAGTTAAGGGGTTAACTTCCTTTTACAGGAACAGAAATGTATGAAGGAAAAAAAATAATCGCAAAAGATTTTCTATTTCATAACAAGTTTTCTACTTTCATGTTATCAGCTCAGCTCAGTTAGAGACTAGAGGATTCTCTAATGTTTGACCAATCCAAGGAATTTGGCATAGGAACTAACATTTATCTGCAAGAGACAACCACAGAGTAAACATCCAGAAAGTGGAGGTTATGATTTAAGGAGATTGAATATGCATACACCATGATATTAAGGAGTATCTGAACATTCAATTAGGGAATGTTGCAGAAATCCTGCATAGATTTTTCCAAGTCAGGAAAATCTCTTGCTGTTGGAGCCCCCACAATTTGCCAGATGAGCAAAAAGGGGTCAAAGAAGAATGTAGCGAGTACAGGCTCTAAACTTTTCAAGAATGCTCAAAATAAAGCTTTGACATCGACACTGGTGAGGTATCATGGATTTACCAGTAAGACCCAGAAACTAAGTGGCAATATGCAGTTTGGGTGTTCCATTAGGACAACATGGCGAAGAGGGGAAGATGATTGCCACTTTCTCTATTGTCAGTGGTCAAGTGGCGACAGTCTTATCGGAGGACTGAATAATAATGAATGCTAAGTGGTACATCACACAGTGCCTGCCCAATGTTCCCCAAAAAGTGCGAGAAAAAAGACCACACCCTGGGCTCCTGGGCCTCCTCCCACATCACAAAAATTCCTCCAGCAGCAAGGCAACAAGGACTGTGGTCAAACAAGAAGAAACTCTTGTTCACCTGGTCACCCCTCCACCCTAAAGGCCTTATTAGGAACCTTGCATGACTTTTGTTCACAAGGGTCAAAGATTCATTGCAAGGGAAGCAGTTCCCAACTCTAGAAGATCCTGTCATTACCTGCGAGGAAGCAGTTTCTGAGATGCCAAAAAGGAGGAATGGAGTAGTTGCTCTGAGAGGCGGCTTCACAGGGTAATATGCTGTATGGGGGGTTTGTGAGGGGCACTTTGAAAAGTTGTAGATGTTACCAGTACTTGCAACTCCTAGCATGTCAGCAGGGAATCTACTCCATTCCCAATTTACCTATAGTTGAAAAATCGGTTTCGTGTTTGTACCTGCACTAGACTTTCATAATTATATGGAATGCTCTAAATAACTGAAACTGGATCTTGGAGACTGGGAAACTATCCCCACAGTAGTGTATTTTATGGAGGGCAGCTTCGCCTACCTTTGGTTAAACATTTAATAAGTAAATATTTTCTCATAGCCTTCTCAGACCAAGGGGAGGGTTGAATATTTCTGGGAAATATACTTCCCACTGCCCATGAAAGGGTTAAGTACAAGTTCCCAACCAACATAAATGTTACCTCAGTACATGGTGCTAAAGCAAAAATCCCTGAGGTAATTTACAATTCTCAGCTTGGTCTCCCTTTAATATTTTCTGCATTCTTCAATATTCTCTGCTGAATAGAGAATGTACTATAACTCACAGGATCCCTGCCCTCATTTTTCTAATTGTCCTGCTTGCTCTCAACTGCATGTCAACCCATTTGGGTTTTTACACCCCCATAAACAGAACATTGTAATTTAAAATTTACTTCTAAGCTTTTTACTCCACACCTCCAAGAGACCATAAGTTTTCAACTCACCATCCTGATTTACAGTCACAACAGCCACTGATGTGTTATTAGTAAATTCCATAATTTCCAAACTTTTTATAAATGAAAGTATAAATTAATGGAATTTTCCAAATTCTCTTGACATGCTCTATGTTCTCATGATTGGCAAAAGAGTTATGGCTCACCTCGGCTTACACATCTTGCCATGGCCAGGGGGGAAAAATTTCTTCTCCCAAACCATTGAGTGAGTTCACTCAACTTCACATCCTTCAATGGAGTGTCAGCTGCAAAAGAAATTGGAACTATGAAATGATAGGCCTCTTTTAGACCTGTTAAATCCTTTGGCACAATATGCCAAGAGTTACTTAAGTATAGACATTTTAGCTGCAAAATATTCCAATATGCAATTCTTTTTTTTTTTACATTAAAAAAAAACTTAAACAATGGAGGAGCAACTGAAAGGACAGACCCTTCCATCTTCCCTTGAACACACAATTGAATCTCCAGCAAGAGTAAGCATGTACTGTATACTGAATAAAAGGAAACTAGCCTTCATCCATGTAGAAATTCCATAGTATAGCATGGGATTTTAAGCAATAAATAGGGAAAAAAATAAGTAACATCCAGTCAAGATGCTTTCTCAGCTTTCTTTCTTAGGAACAGGACATTACAAAGGTGTTCAAAAAGACTTGTCTCTGAAATGAACTGAGAAACCTTCATCACTTTTAGTGTCAAGAGGCAGTTCTTATTCTTTTTTTTTCTTTCAGTGCTAACAATGGGTCTACTAAAGAACGTAAAATATCGGGGCAAGGGCAGTGATCAATTTTCTCTCCCTGAAAGGTATTTTCCCGGCAGATCTTTAAGCAGGGCAGTATAAAGCTTTCGCCTCAGCTGCTCAAAGACCTGCTGCGATAGACTTCTCCAGGGTGAGCAAATTGATCACAACCATCATCTATAATTAAACGAGGTCAATCTCATACGGATGTGGCATAATGACAAGTCTAGAATGCCTCTTCTGGATTGACATTGGCCCAGGATAAAATAACTTACGTTTCCCATAATATCTTGCAGGATCAAAGGGGCCGTGAATTTTCTGATTGTACTCCTTTGGGTATTGCCCTATTCCATACTTCTCCGCTAGGGCGTACAGGAAATTCGGGGGTTTAGACATGAGGAAGGCCTAGAGAGACGCTCAAGGACGAAGACCACAAAACACAGCTAAGACTCAGTTCTCGCTGCTTCAAAAGGTCGTAAATTCACCCTTCAGATACTTTATAGGCACGTTGTGCCTCCCAAATCTCAGAACCCCCGAACTCTCAAACCAAGCTCAAGAGTCACTGAGTCTCACCAGGGGCAAGGTAGGTAGCACGAAAGTGCCTGAGTTGCTATGCTGTTAGGCAGTGTTTTCTCAGTTGATTTGTCAATTTCTTAGCCTGAAAGAAACGTAATTGATGATCTTGTACTTAAAAGAAGTTTAACCTATTTTGGCTGATTCAAAAAAAAAGCGAAACTATAAAACTCAATCGAAAAGCCTTCATCAAAGTTGTCCGAACACAAGCAGATATATGGCAACCCTGGTTTAGCCGGCCAAGGCTGTACGTACTGTTCAGAAGACAGCCATGCGACATGCGACGCTCATCTGCAGGGTGGTCGTATCTTTTGTAATTTTCTTCCGATCTGGCTGAAATTTAAAATTATATATAGGCTACGCGTAACATTAACGACCTGATTATCTACTTTGTGAGCAAAAGAAGTTGTTTTGTTAGGCATAGGCTAACCTAGAGTTCAGTCCACGTCTCCTCGCATAGCGCACACCATACCGGATTGTGGTGAAGACAATGGCATTTTATGGTTTAGCGACGCTAGAGACCTAGTAGGCATCTAGTGTTACCAATATTAAGTTTTCAGTCGAGTATTTTTTGGAATCAGAATGCGGTAGTGACCATCATTTTGGCACAAACGTTACCGCTTTCCGATGCCAAACATTGGCGCAGTCTGAACCGAGGAGATGTTTGCCGGCATGCTTTTGTTCTCTTTTCATTGCCTGAAATTGTATCATCTCATGAAGGAGAAGAGACTTACTGTAAGGAGTGACTGATGCAATGGGAGAATAATCATACACATTTAACTGCAAGAATATTTCATAGCACTCCTAATGCTGATAGGGTAATTGCAATTTTGCCGACAGTAATCTTAGGGATTTGTTGGCCCAAGTGCACAAACCTCATTTAAGGAAGATATTGGGGTCACTAAGCTAAGAATCTCTTTTCTCCCCATAGGAGTCAATGTATTTTTAAAGGACTGTTAAGGAGGTTTCAGCATTTGGCTTGTAGTCTTTCATTTGCCATAAAGTCATTGTCCTCTTGAGTGTTGTTTTGCACCAGTGAGTCTACGACCTTGGCGTAGACTGAACATAATGAAGAATACATCTGTGAATGAAATTTTTATTCCTTGAGTAGCTAGTACCAAAGTATCTGGTGACTGGATAAGACCAAGCAAATTATTTTATTTCTTATTCATCTCACATAGATGCATTGATTGAGAGGAAGATGATTTTATTTGCTTTCAAGTCTCCTTTAGTAGTTTAAAGTACTTTGGCCAAGTTTTTTCATGGATTTTTTTTAGCAGGATTAGAAATGCTCACTTTCAAGTTATCATTGTTTTGTCTCTGTAACCTTTTTTCCCCCTTTTTTTTTTGCTTTTGCAAGCTGAAGGGACAAACAACAGTGAAAGTTGATAATGATATTTTTTGCTGTCCAGAACATGGATGTATTACATTGCCTTTTTGCAACGACTTTAAGTTTAATTTATAGCTGATATGGCCCAATTGTATTCTTTGTTTCTTTTCCTCTCAGGGCTTACTATTCAACTTTTCAAAGAAGAAGTTCCTCTATCACAGTTAGTAGAGCCATTCCCTGCAGAAATGTCCATTGGTGTTCCCATAAAAGTCCTTCATGAAGCTGAAGGTCATATTGTCACTTGTGAAACCATCACTGGTGAGGTGTATCGTGGCAAATTGGTTGAAGCTGAAGATAACATGAACTGCACTTTCAGTGCTATCACAGTGACACATCGTGATGGAAGGCAATCCCAGCTGGAGACTGTTTACATTCGTGGCTCCAAAATCAAGTTCCTTATTCTACCTGATATGTTGAAGAATGCTCCCATGTTCAAGAACCAAGGTCCAGGTGCAAAACGGGGTGGTGGAGGAATGGCAGCTAGAGGGAAATCTGCCATTCTGCGAGCACAGGCTGCTCGAGGTGGGCGTGGTCGTGGAGGGCCAGGAATGCGGGGTGGCTTCCGTGGTCGTGGTGGTGGCGGTGGCGATCGTGGTGGCGGCGGTGACCGTGGTGGAGGTGGTGGAGGACCTTGGGGTCCAAGGCGATAAATCTGAACTGTGACCCAATGCCTGCAGAATCTTTGCAGTTTGTCATTTCTATCCACCACTGACTTTCTCTGTTCTGATGCAAAAACTGTTACTCTTCAGAAATCTCCTGAACATTTACTTTCTTTGGTGTAGAAATCAAGCAGACTTTTACTTTTGGGTGTTTACTTTTTGAATCCAAAAGAAAATTTGTCTTTTTTTCTCTCTGAAGTCCTAATGAGAGGATGTTTGACTTGCTCTCTTTATGGCCATTTGTATTCCAGCAGAGAATTCTGAATAAAATGTCTGATCTCTCTCTTATGCCATTTCAATTCCAGTGAGATGCATTCTGCTATTTGCAAGAAACAGAAATAAGCACCATTGTGTGGTCACTGTTTGGCATGATTCCATTTGACTCCATGTCTCCATGACGCCATTTTGACTCATTTTTATGTGGTATATGCCACTCTGATCTGATTTCCTTATCTGGCTGATATTGCTAAATTTTATCTGATACCCTGTTGTGAAAGAAGAGCAGTTTAGAATGAATTGATATGATGCATACAAGGTAATACTTGGCTAGATCAAGTTGAATAGAGTGAAACACATGAAGGTGACAATATAGCAATGCCTGAGAGGTAATGGAAGCTGAGGGGTTCATGTGTGACCTCATTGGACATTGTCTAACTGTCCATAAAAGCTTTACAGTTGTGTAATCTTTAGATCATAATGACACATTGGCATTTTCCAAATCTTGGAATTTACAGGAGTGGGAAGAATCTTTCAAACAGGAAATTTTAATATGGCAAAATTTGTACTCAAGTGGCCCAAGTTTCTCCTGTTTGGTGATTCTTTAACTCAGGTGAGAAAAAAATGTATACTCTTTTTTTTTTTTTAGTATATTCGAATAATTGCTTCAACATTACATTCTACCCTTTCAGTACTCATATGATGCAAGTGGATGCTGGGGCTCCTTGGTTGCATCTATGCTGCAAAGGTATAGCCACAAACATCATTATTTGTGATTTTGAATATCCTGTTACTGATGGAAGTCACTTGAATGGATCCAGAAAATGCGATGTCGTGGCACGTGGTTTTGCTGGGTATAATTCCCATATGTGCTCTGCTGTTCTACCTGTGGTGATGGGAGAATTTGATCCCTCCATGATTGTTGGTGTGACCATCTTTCTTGGGGCTAATGATGCCAATTTTAAAGATCTGAATCCAATTCAACATGTCTCACTAACTGAATACACGGAGAATCTGCGGCACATGGTCCTCTTTTTGGAGGTAGATAGTCAGCATTTCCATAGAGTATTGATGGGCAAGATGGGGAATTTTATATGAAATGCTATTCCAGAGCCAAGGAGTTTCTCGCAAAAAGGTGACACTCATAGGACCCCCAGCTTTTAATGGAGCAGAATGGGCTAAAGAACTGGAATGTCGAGGTCTTGGAATGCCATTGTCAAAAGACAATGAAATCACTGGAATCTATGCTCAAGCTTGTGAATCTCTGGCAAATGAATTGAACTGTGATTGTGTGAACCTCTGGAAAGCCATGATGGATCGCTCTGAGGTTAGGATAAATTTTAACTTTGATATGCAAATGCCATGATCAAAATATATTGTCAGGAATTTTACTTCTTGATCATAGGAGGAGTGGAAAGCAATGCTTTGTGATGGCCTGCACTTGTCACAGAAGGGTTCACAGTTTCTCTTCAATCTTCTGCAGCCAATGATTGAGGAAAGAACAAATACCCTGCCCTTGATCTTACCTGAATGGAGAGACATGAAGGAATCAAGTCCTCAGCAGTTAATCTTTCAATGGATTCAAAGAAATGCCTGATTGGTTCTTGCTCTATTATATCTGGGGTACTGTTAATTAAAAGCTTTTGGGTGCTTCATCCTGCAGTGACCTTCATTTTGTACTTGAGAGGTCTCCCAGTGAATATTAAAAAGTTATTGAGTACTCACAATTGGTTCTGGTCTCCACACTGGAATATTTCAAAATCTGTATAATCTAAGCTTTGTGTTGTGAATGAGTTTTGCAATAAAAGTTTTCATGTCACTGAAAGCATATTGTGGTGAAATTTCCTTGCACCCATTTGAGCACATGGAGTGCCAAATAGGGCATGAGCTGAACCATGGGTATCAAATTTGATTTAACTGGGAGGCACTCTTACAAATCTTGCTCAAAGTTTTTAGCACAAGCTGCATTTACAGTGTTTTTCACTTGAGTTAGACACATTTTCACTTGACTTTGATGCTCATGCACATGTTTCTGAGTCAAATGAAAAATTGTCTAACTCAAGTAAAAATCACTTTAATTTGCAGCACTTTTTCAAAACCAACTGTTAAAGAAGAACTTTCTCATGCTGGACAAAAAGAACTGGTGGGATGGGTTCAGCCTGCAGGCCACCAGTTTGACACCCCTGGGCTAAACCGCAGTACATTTTGCAGTTTTTACCTAAAGATCATGCTTTCTTTGAAGAATTTTCTTCCTCCATATGGAGATCCATATAGGAGAAGTATTCTCACTACTATTTTAGCTTGCTAAAGCGTGAGTATGGTATTTCTGTGTTTTGGGTTAACTCACGTCCCTCTTCAAAGCCTGGAAGCGAATCGAAGAGACCCGAAAGTGAATCGTGACGCGAACCTCCCGTCAAGCAGATTGGGCAGACCACGCGTGGTGCCGTCCAATCGGATCCATCGACTGCGATGACGTCATTCCAGACGCCCGCTCTCCTTGCATTTCAGGTCTCGAGAAAGTCCAGTAGGGGTGAGCGTCACGTTGCATCTCTGCACGTGCGTCGTGTGTGCATAAACAATAAGGGTTGACTGAAGTTTGCAAAGCTACGATATTCACCATTGGTGCCAAGTCTCCTAGTTTGTGTTTATCAATTAGAATGAAGCTGTGTTTACCTCGACTACATGACTGGAAGAAACAACGAGTTGAAGCATTATTTTGCTTCATTAGCTTATGTTGCTTTGACTCGGGAAAAAAAAATTATCCTTGGATAAAAGAGGAAACCAGAGCAATATGCAATTCGCGGTTTAAGTTATGGAAATTCTGGAAAATGTTACCAATTGAAATTGTCTTCGTCATTATTCCTTGGAAATCTACTGCATGTATGTACATCGATGATGAATGATGGGTACACCGAAAGAAACTCTGATGATCTGATGCTAACTTTCCCATAATTAAATCATGAAATTTGCGCATTTTCCTTCCACTTATGATATCTGAGCAGCAGATGCATGACTATGTAAATAAATCGGAGGTATCCTCGCAGAAAGCCCTTAAGTCGAATTAGTGAAACAGATTTGGTACCAATTAAGCCCATGTTGATCATGAGTTCTGCCTACAGAGGGACTTTCATTTCAAAATGTTAGCCATCAAGTCAAAACTCGAAGTGTTTTGTCACTGCCAAGGAAAGCCTTAAAATGTATTGGCGATGCCGAGTTTTGCCTATATTGATGCCTATTTAACGCAGCATGCTTTGATGTGTAATGCGACTCATTGGATAATTAGCGGTAACGGTCTACCCAGCGCAGGTTCCCAATCCCGCCCCCGCGTCCCCGATGAACTGGATGGGCGGTTCCCGATCTCGCATCCGGAAAAACGAAGAGCTCCGAAAGCAGAAGGCATTCTTCGAGAAGCAGCGTCTGAGGAAGAAAATGGAGGCGCTGAGGGATCCCCGGACCCCGTCCTCGGACGGCGTCAGCCAGGACCTTCTTCATCTCCGAGCCGTCTCCCAGCTCGTGGACGAGTCGGTCACTCCGCGGCAAGGTTAGACTCGAAAGCGTCTCCCGCGTGGATCCAGACTTGTCGACATATCTCGGCAAAGACCGACTTCTAGTACGGGCGATTCGAACGCAGCACGAGACGAAATTTCTTTAAATTACTTTCATTCGCTTTGGTCTTTGTCTTTGGTGGCGTTATTATAATCATTATGATCACAAGGAATCTTGAAGTTTTCCCTGACTTTGCTTCTGAAACTCAAGGATGGAGATCCACTGAGCAACCTTGGACATTTTGGGCATTAAAATACGTCAATTTCCTCCGGACATGCCCCCTTCTCGTAAGCTTCATTGTACCTAGAGGACTTGGAATATGCACTCCGTCCCAAATAAAATTTTGGAACATTTTTCAATTTGTAGCTATTCGTAAGTAGTTCAGACTATGGCTGTGCGCTTCTGAGAGCCGACCAATACATGAAACAAGCATGTAAAGTTCTACCAAAATCCACCGACTCATTCTATTAGTGCAGCAGCTTATTCTAAGCTCGGTCGCAGCGGTCCAGTGCAGCCGGCCTCACCCGTCGCGAGCGAGAGGGAACCCACCGTTCCCCTGTCGCAGTAGAGCGGGCAGTGCAGTGTGTGTACAGATTGACGGCGGGTGCTTTGAGCACCTCTTCCAAGTGTGAAACAGGTAAGAATAATGCACTTATGGTCGTACGCACGTCATGTCAGCCGTTGTTTGTGAGGCACACAACTGAACTTTGAAGTAGTTCCGGCCGCACTGCCTCAGGGCTGTCACGCTCAAAATTACCTCCTGTATCTCTAGAACCAGCGAACAGATATTGCAATAACTTAGCATGCATATGATCCTTTTATGTAATAGTCAACCCTCAGAAGTGCACAACAATATTCTATACTAATTTTAAGTAGCTACAAATGGAAAAATGTTCAACAAATTTTATAGGACAGAGTGTGTATTGATTTGTCTCCTCAACCTTCATTACAGGACACAGCACCACGTATTTTAATCAAGCTTTATTTGGTATACCATATAATGACTGCAGCAGGAGAGGGTTGGAGGGGCACGTTTAGGAATTCACATAATTTGTAACTCATTTCACTTTCGCTGTCTCAATAGCATCACATCAATTGCAGCCCTGTTCGCTTGAAATATTTCCCCACTCACTTTTGCATTGAGAGCATTATCCTAAATCATTTATGTAAGATGGGTACGAATGAACTGTAAACTCAGTCCCAAAAGTAAGTGCATTTTGCTGTTGTTGCATCAAGGGACGTATCACCTATTATAGCAGGCGGAACAGCACAACAAGGCGTGAATGTTGTTAATCTGATGAGCACAGGAGCACGTTTTGGTCGACGGAGGGGAAAATCAGGAAAACTCTTCAGCCTGTTGGATTTGATCCCAGCTTCACCTGATGATCCCACCACACCAGCTCAAAACCATACAGGTTCCCTTTTTTTCTGAGTCTTTCACTGTAAGTATGAAGGGTTAATTCACCTCTATGCAAACCTTCCCCTGCAGGTTCATCCAAGGAACAAAGGCCACCCATGAGTGAACATCCTCTCCCTCCATTTCAGAGATCTTCCTTTCAGAGCCAAGTGAGGGATTCCCTGACTACCACAAAAAGTCACTTGATCTACATCTTTATCAAAAGCTATTTCTTGGGGTGAAAATGTCAACTTTGGACAGGCTAAACTTTTTTTACATACAAACTTTTTTACTGGAAAGACACCTTACCTTTTGCAAGAAATGGAATTACAGGTGGAGTGACATATGATACAAGTTAACTTTCAGAGATTCCAAAGATCACAAGATCACTTAGAGAATGAGGGAAAACATCAACATCTTGTTTGTATGCTTGTGATTTTTCAATCTGGTTTCATGACTCTATCCCATTTCTATATCAGGTTCAGGAAGAATCGGGAGAAAGTAATACTGTTGCACAAAGCGAATCTCTGCAGACACACGTAAAGAAGAACGTAGAGGGATTCACTCCCATCAGAGCAAACATGGACCACTTCATCCAAGTTTATCACCAAAAGGCACCTAATAATTCAAGGATGACAGATCACATTGGAATCCACACCTCTGCTACAGCATTTATCTCACCCTGGCCCCTTGCAAAATATCCAGGTCACATGCCCAAACTCAAAGACTCTGATGCAAAAACTCCTAAAGTAAATCAGTCTCAAGTGACAGAGTCCATATTCAAAACTCCAAACATTCAAGTAAAATCAGTCAATCAAGACCAGAATAGAGAAGCCAATGGAGTCACCACCACACTATCAGCTGATATCACAATTGGGTCAAAGAATGATCAGAAGAAGAGAGAATCAAGACCAAGAGACTTAGCATGGAGGGAGAAAGTCCAATCTTTGTATAGTATCTTCCAGCAGCAAGAGTACATGGACTACCTAAGGCAAGAGCTGTTATATGATCCAAATTCTGTCTGCTCTCAAGCACCTTCAACAACAGAAGCACAAGATGGAGGAATTTCACACAAACAGTATCAACATGCAGGAAAGAGCTGTAAAGATCAATCATTACCTGATCAAGGGCTCAGCTTAAATCCAATGCCCTCCCCTGTAGCAGAAAGCCACTCAGTTATGACTATGTATTCAGAAGCAAACACCAATAACAATCAGAAGTGTACTGAGAATAAAGATCAACATCAGTGCACTCAAAACAAAAGCCAAGTGAGTACAGTTACATTGCCATGTTTGTGGATTTTAACTAAGGTTGATTACGAAATTTTGTCAATGTCCTTTCTTTCTTGATACAGAGCTGTCAGAGGGGCACAATGATACTACATTTGGAGGAAGCAGAACCAAGTACAGATCAAGAGATCCCACTTGATAATACTGTTCTGGTGGCAGTTTCCTGTCATTCACCTTCCCAAACAGGACATGATAAGTCAACACCACCTGATCGAGATGCCTATCCAAAACTGGTGTCCTCCTTGATAAAAGAAAGTCATTTGCCTTCTAGTACAGAACAGAATACAGTTGAAGAAAGTAACTTGGCTTCAATTGAGCGCCCTGAATCAGAGACTGATACAATTGACAGAAAAAGACCAGATGATCAACTCAGCCATCAATGGGCTCAGAACACAAGCCAGGTCAGTAATGTGCTTACATAAGTAACTGGCATGGGGTAGTCATGGAAATGTACAAAGATGAAATAATAAATGATTTTCAGCCAATTGTCACATTTTATTGCATAACTTATTCAGTTTAAGGTACTATGGGAAGATGAATATCGACCCCCCTGGATCAAAGTTCCGCTTTATAATTGTTATAAGGGACCTCAAGAAAGGGCCTTGGAGCCGATTGCTGACTCTCTGCGGTAACGCCCGGGGCCATGATTTGAGGTCAAAGGTCACAATTTACATGCATCTCTTTGAAAATGTGTATCTCCCCAACCATTGGCCGCAGAAACGTCAAATTCGTGCCATTCTCCTTGGAAGATATCGCGCTAAATGGAAAAAATAAATACATGCATGTAACTGTCGTTATCGAGACGCCATGGCGCCATAACTGAGAAAATTTCCGTTTTCGGATTCTGTTTTTTCGCTTTCATTCCTCGTAGAAATTTTCTATCGACAAAAGCATGCTACACTTTTTGGAGGCTATCCTGATCCATCTTTTGGCGGAGTTGCGCTTAGTTTCTTCCAACCGTTCGCTCTCAAAGTTCGACGATCCACGCGAAAATGCCACTTTTTTGGAAATCACTCGAGGTTGACGGACATTGCTCGAAAACGAAGCCGAAATTCAAAAATTCCTCTGATAGATCTCTTAAGATGTCTCTCAAGAAGCTTCGTGTGGATTTTCATGGGAATCCGTTCGCTATCCTTGGAGCCTATCGTTTTTTGCTGTGGTCCATTTTAAAATTGTGGCCATTTCTGTCCTACCGGGTCGATTTCCATGGTTCATTGGTCTCAAATACCGGATTTTTTTGTTCCTATCACATAGAGATATGAGAGCGAAAAAACAGAATCCGAAAACGGAAATTTTCTCAGTTATGGCGCCATGGCGTCTCGATAACGACAGTTACATGCATGTATTTATTTTTTCCATTTAGCGCGATATCTTCCAAGGAGAATGGCACGAATTTGACGTTTCTGTGGCCAATGGTTGGGGAGATACACATTTTCAAAGAGATGCATGTAAATTGTGACCTTTGACCTCAAATCATGGCCCCGGGCATTACCACAGAGAGTCAGCAATCGGCTCCAAGGCCCTTTCTTGAGGTCCCTCACAACAATTATAAAGCGGAACTTCAATCCAGGGGGGTCGATTTTCATCTTCCCATAGTACCTTAAGCTGCAAGTATTAAGTAATTTCACGTAAGATTACTCAACATGGAGTCTATCTCCATCCATGCGCTATTGGGAGAGGGGGCATCCATCCTGTTAAATCAGAATTAGTTGTGGCTGAGGGGGGGGTTCCAACATTCTTGTTGACGTCTTCCACAGGATGGAAATGAATTCCCAAATGAAGTATTTTCATGGATGAAAATAGGTAATGTAGAGAATAATGTAAAATAGTAATGCAGAGATAAACTCAGAGAATAAGCTGGATGGGAAATAACCCCCATCCTCCACCTCTCCAAGAAGTCATCATCTTTCCTACAGTGTGGACCAGCATTGTTGCAGAGAATCACCAACATGGTCCATGCCATTGAAGCAGATGGTACCTTGTTATTTTGCAGAATCAGTTTGTGTTGTCTCCATTGATGTGTTTCATGCAGACTGCAGCAGTTAACAGAATACTAATTGTCTGAAGACAAAATTTTAATGATGTTTCAATTGAGTAACATAGCAGCACCAAGTTTTTTAAATCTCCAGTAGCAATTCAATTCATGAAATTTTCTTTCTCCCAAATGAAATGATGTGGTGATGAAAAGCAATTGGTAGATCTAGTCTTGCATATGCTGTTATTCATCAAGATGAATCCCATCAACTTGGCAGCTACTTTTGACTTCTCCAGTTTGTCAGTCAAGATAGTCAAGCAGTTTCATTGATGATTCCTGCATATTATAAGACCTGAGACCTTAGGTCACCTATTGGTCTTCACCCAAAATTTAAACAAAATTGTCAAGCTGGCTGGCCCTCCAAGATTGCATTTCATTTTATAGTTTTCCTCCTCTTTTGTAACCACTTGGAATCATCGGCAAACCATTTGGACAGTGCTAGGATGCCAAGGGCTAACAAAAAATGTTGATATATATTTCTCTCTGATGGTCTCCTCTCCAACAGCAGGTGAAATTTGGTTATTGTAAGACCATGGCACCTAAGGTTCATGTTACATTAAACATCACATTGCAAATTTCCCAAGTCCTAAATTGGAAATCACTAACTTAAAAAATATTAGTTTGGCAAAGAACCAAAAGATGTCTGTTGATTGTCCTGTACATAATGTCTGGTTGCAGAGCTCTCAGAAGTCTGTAAAGAGGTTGGAATCCCAGGAAGCAGTGCTAAACACCCACAGGGAGATTCCATTCACATCACCTTGTGGAAGCAAAGCCACTCAAGAATCCTGGCTGACCATTGACCCCAGCACTCCTGATCATACCCAAAAGCCAAAAGTTGAGATAACTTGTGAAGCTCCACATAGACCAACCCAATTTCAAACTGTCATGCCACAGAGTGTGGTTAACTCAAGTCCCATCTTCAAATGTCAGAAGTTGTTCACCACTAAGAAATACCTTAACATCTCAAATTCATACACCCAAGTCATCCCTTCCACCCTCCCAACTATCCAAGATGCATCAAACTGGCCTAGAAGGAACCCCCCTGGAATGATTGAAATTCAAGAGGTGAGGAGAAATGGAGATGTAAATCTCATAGTTACTTGCTCCTGTGGAGCTTCGGCAAAATACATTGTCTCAAAGTCTTACCCTGATGAAGAATTAAGCAGTGACTGCATTGGACAGACAAATAAAGATATAGAGAGGATTAACCATGAGTGTCCCAGAAAAAAGAGAGCAGAACAAGTCATTCAATAAGCTGGAAGAGTAACATGGAATACAGGACTTTGACATATGACTGTATTCATGATAAACTTTTATGTGATCAATTTTGCCAAGTCTCACAACATAACTGAAGTGTCAGATCCAGCATGAAAAATGAGGTGGAGTTTGAGGATGTAGAAATGGAACATAGATGAGGACTGGGCACAGTGCTGACTAGGATTCTGTCTTGCTTTGGTAGTAGATGGCCTCAGAAGAATTGGGCTCAGGATGAGATGTCTTTCCACTACCCAGGAGGTCACTTTCAACATTTTTCAGAGCCCAGTTGTGATCACATACTTCAAGAGCCTCCCATTCAGCCTTGAAAGCTGCCTTTGGATCGGGAGGAACCATGGCACTTCCAGTCATCTGCTCCTGCATCATCTTTGTTTGGTCAGCAGCTGCAAGGAATTACACCAGCAATTCAGTTCCTTCCAGTTGTCATTACCTGATTGCACATTGAATTTCATAACTAGAATGTCTTACTAGCAGAATAAAACTTGATTACTGAGCCCACTCATGGAATCAGTGTTTCTCTTTCAGAAATTTGCAACCCTTCAAGGAGTCTCCACCAAGTAAAAGATGCTTAAGAGAAACAGCACATTTTTAGCTCCGTGTGACAACCTTCTTGTAATTGTGGTCTAATTCTGAAATTATTTTTACATAATTTGCTGCATTGAAGAACCAGAGTGCAATACATAGGCATTTGAAATACAAGTACCTGAAACTGGAATTCTGAGACATTACATCAAGCAGCTAAATAGGTTAGAGCACTGAAACATCAACTTACAATTATTTTCTCCCAAGACAAGGGCATAGATGCTGCGGAGTCCGAAGACATTGAGGAAATACCATGAGGCAGATGACACCCAGGATGCATCAAGGGACATGAGATCAATGCTTCTCTGAAGCATAGGCTTGAAGCGCAGAGTAAGAGGAAACGGCACTTTTGCTGTAGATATGCCACCAAATTGTATTAAACTCACCTGTATGCAAAACTAGGCCCACTGAATTTTAAGACATATTCAAGAATCCTTACTTGTGACGAATCCAGAAAAAGTCCAATTAATCCATCCTCCAATCACAATCATGGGCAAGACATTTGTAATGTTACCCTTTAGCATCTCTGTCATCATGTTTGGATCTGTCATTGGGTTACCAGCTGCTCCCTGTCTCTTCTGGGTCTTGAAGTACCCTACAAAAGTTTAAATTTTCAACATACACTTTGAGAAGAGAAAGATGTCTGCTGGTCTGTATGGAAAGAAACAGCATGGATGTAACTCTGTTTGAGAGGTGGAATGAGGAAGGAAAAAATTGGCAATGTAGTACATAATCAAGACTCTGCAGATATCACTTATCTTACTCTGTGCAAAGTAATTAATGACAGGTGGAGTTGGGAATAGGAAGGAAGGGAAGAGAGAGAAATTGTTCTGGCTTTTGATGATTTACTTTCTCATGCTTGATATGTTTTCTTAATATATGTACCAATAACTTTTGAAGTTTTTTGGGTTCTTCTACAAGTCCTCAATACTTTCATTTATGAAACAATATCTTTTAATAAGAGCTTCTTCAACTCTCAATCAACTCAAGGAGCAAAGGCCACCTAGGACTATGCCCATCGATGGTCTATGTTGCAAGTGATAAACTCACCTGTTTCTTCATTGTTGAAGAATTGCCTTCGCATGAGGAAGGAATTTCTTGGTAAAAATCTCCCATTCTCCCTTAATAGCCTTGATCGTAGGAGTGCTTGGCTGCAAGAAAACAGAACATTAAAGGCTTAATGTTAAGTTTATTTGAAATGGTGAACTTGGAACAAGTTGTCAGTCAGTAAAAAAAAACTAACTGCTTGATGCTTACAAAACTAACTTTGTAAGCAACTTCTTACAAATGCAAAGTTCGTGTGGGGAAATTAAGTCAATTGGAAATTTTGAACAAAAAAATGAATAGCACCAAGGTCTGGTAGGAAACAAAATCAAAACCTTAGACAGTAGGAACATTTAGCAGCCTTGAATGTCTGATTAGTCTTTTGATATGCTTTGCAACCTCCACTCAATGATGTAAACCAAGGCCAGTCGTTTTCTGTCTCACTGAGCTCAAAACTTAATCCGTTGAGGGGTTGGAAGTGGTTCACATCCCCCACAGGCAAAGAGCCACGGATAAAATAATCCGTGGCTCTTTGCGGGAGAGAGTTCCTTCCAAAATGGACCAAGACCATCACCTGTCTTGCACTTGAAGGAGCTCGACCTTCTTCTGGGAAGACAGAAGGACCGCGACGTAGTGTCTGATGATCCCGACGAGGAAGGTGATGATGACGATGGGTAGAAACACCCAGAGACGGATATCTGCGTCTAACAACAGTTCCGCCATACTTCCCGTTCGCATGCTCGATGTCGATTTTTTTCCCCGGCCAATAATTTTGAAAAGCATTGCTCAGAGAAGAGAATACTCTGATACTCTTCTTGTTCCAAGAACTAGGCTTCTTGCCGGTGCAGGCGATCATTTTCAGGAGCTTACAATCAACATGAGGAAAGGAAGAAATTATGCCTGACCAGGCAACAATGGAAAGAAGGTGGCGGGGTGCATGCGCTCGTTCGTCACGTGTGCATCTGCCTATGAGATTATGCAACCTATGGGGTTCAGGTGATCGTGTCTGGCAGAACCTGTTCTACATGATTGTGGACGTTTAAAAGTTGCAGGGTGAAGTGATCATAAACAGCTCGTCATGCCAGTACCTTGCACTTTCTCGTGTAGCCGAAATGCAGCTCTGAAGGTGGGACCTAGGCCTAGTTAGAACGAGTTGTGATTGAATGGCCAATTTTTCAATATAAAGCCAAAATTAGGCGAATTCATTGAATAAAATGCTTTAAATGGAAGGTTTTCTGTTACCAGTCTTCTGTAACAGTTGAACCTTATTTGATTTTCAAACAATTTCTTTCCAGAGGCCCAAAACTGGGGCAGCCATCTGCAAGGAATGCTTTTTTCGAGCCTTCGAAGACGAAGTGCACAAGACGATCACCGATGCAAAATTGTTTGAACGAGGAGATTTCGTGGCGATTGCAGCTTCAGGGGGGAAAGATTCAACTGTCCTTGCATCTGTCTTGCGCACGCTGAACGAGAGGCACAATTATGGACTCAAGCTTGTATTGCTCTCAATTGATGAAGGAATCACAGGTGAGCTGGAGTACATTGTTGGAGCTCTTCAGCAGTAGTGGAAGTAGCAGAATGATGGTGAATTTTGCAGGGTACCGAGATGACTCTTTGGAGACAGTGAAGAGGAACAGGGATCAGTATGGAATTCCTCTCAAAATCCTATCATATGAGGAATTGTATGGGTGGACCATGGACAGTATCGTTCAGCAGGTCAGCTTAATCCTCCCTCAATTTTAGAGTGTACTGTTTGGAATAAGAATGGTAAAATTTTGTTTTGGCAGGTGGGCAGAAAAAATAATTGTACTTTCTGCGGAGTGTTTCGTCGCCAAGCATTGGACAGAGGAGCTGGGTTGCTTGGAGTCGACAAGATTGCAACCGGTCACAATGCAGATGACATGGCTGAGACAGTTGTCATGAACATCCTTCGAGGAGACATTGCCAGACTGCAGAGATGCACTGCCATCACCACAGTATGTGAAGAAATTTATAATTTTCTCTTCTTGGCAAGTATGGCAGCAAGGTTTTGCTTAAACTGACTTTTGTGGTTCTAAAGGGTTCAGAGGGGATGATATCCCGTGTGAAGCCATTCAAGTATGCATATGAAAAAGAAATAGTCTTATATGCATACCACAAGCGACTTGATTATTTCTCAACTGAGTGTATTTATTCACCCAATGCCTATAGAGGCCATGCTAGGGCCTACATCAAGGACTTGGAACGTATCAGGCCCTCTGCAATTGTTGCCATCATACATGCAGGTGAGTAATGGTCCTCCACTGACTAATGTTCTCTATAGAGGTTAGGATAAATAAAACAAGCCTTTTCCAGGTGAACAATTGTCAGCAGAGGAGAATGTCAAGTTGCCAAGTCAGCGTTTATGCTCTCGATGTAAGTACATCTCGAGCCAAGAACTTTGCAAAGCGTGTGTGTTACTGGAAGGACTGAACAAAGGACTCCCTAAGCTTGGAATTGGCAAGAGCAGCAAAGCCAAGAGAGTCCTTCCAAGCTTGCTTCAAGCCTCCCCAATGTCTAATGAAAGCCTCATGTGAATTTGTGATCTCATTGACATAATAATGTTACACTTTTCCCATGCCATGCCTTATTTTTATTCACTGTCGCTTCAGTTTATAGCAATTCATAAACAATGGATAAGAATCACAATGATGTCTTCATGAGAAAGCACTCAAGAGCCACAAGGCAACAATCACTCCCTGGCCTATGTGCAGGCCAGATGCACCTCATCATGTTCACCATCATCTGTGGAATGGAATGCCAACTCTACATAGAACCTTCACAAATGTAATAAGACAGGACTGCTCTTGGTGAATGTCCTGCTCACATTGTTCTCAGCTGATAGTCTCCATTCTGTGTGATGTATCTCACCCAAGGGAGAGCTTGATATCCACTTTTCTCAATGATCTTCAAGTATCGTACCTGAAAAATTTATCATAAATACAGTTGAAATGACCAGTTTTAAGTGCATAATATACCTTTTCATGATTAAAACTTCATTAATGCTGATCAGTTTACATGCAAATACTGAAATCGAAAAAAAAAAAACTGGACCAAATCCATTGGCTTTAAGTAATGCTCGGATCCTTCTGGTTTGCTGCTTGAGGCTCTGGATGGCAGCTAGTTTGCTATTGAGAAAATGCTTTTGAAGTACAGATATGTATGTCCTAGGTTTTTTTTTATGGGGATATTTTTTAGTTCCTCTTTCTGAAAGGCTGCACGTTATCTATGATCGGGCATATTGGGTAAAAAGAAAAGTTTTCACGGTTCACCATAAGATTGCACTAGCATTACTTACAGACAAGTCTCATACTTTATGTGCGAGTCAAAATGGATCCAGTCTTGCTGTAGAATGGTCAATGTAGAGAGCACATGTGGACAACATTTAAATCATACACATTCTTCCTCTTTAGGATCTGGGCAACCCTATACAATCCTCAGCCCTGTGTCTTTATTAGAAGAACCTTAAGAGCCTGAGGATCTAATCAGATTACCTGGATGCCAGAGGTAGTGAAATAAGGAATCTCAAATTGGACAGTGATGGGAGGTTTGCTCTCTAAATTCTCAGACTCCACGCTCGGCAAGCCAAAATGAGCCCGCATCAGATATTCCTTCCCCCCCTGCAAGAAGTTGAAGGACAAATTATGAAAGTTTGTAATTTCCTATGAATACCAGTACTCCTGCCATAAAATGAAAAATGAATAGTACTACTCACAGGGAAAGATCGAATGCTCCACACAAAACAGTCTTGTTCAGGGACATATTTCACAGACCCTATGGACGTTTTGAACTTTGGGGAATCTGCATCCAAGGGGACAGGGATGTTGATTTCCACATTGTTGGCTGTAGAACGCCTTTTGAACTGAGACTTGGCTTTCACCATGTACTCAACTCGGGAATGAGCATGGCGCTCAATCACCGACTCTATCCAAATGAGTGGCTTGACCTAAATTATTTTTTAAAAAGGGATCACTCACTACCTTGGCAGGAAGAGCATTCCTCATTGGCAGAAAACACATGGAATCAATGCTTCAGACTCACATGAGTGTTCAGACGATATGACATCAGCTCAAATTCACCATCAGGTGGAATGAAGGAGATGGTCCTGTCATTTTCAAACCTGAAGAAAGAAAGTTCTTGCATTCACTGTTTTCATGTCTGAGCTATATCTCCACCTGGAGATGAGCTTACCGACTGAGACGCACACATTGATGGAATTTCACATCCTCCAATTCCACAGACTTACTCTTCCCTCTACCTGTACTCTCAAATAGGACCTTGTCATTCAGTCCCAGACGAAGTTCTGGCATTCCAGATAGATACACTCGCATCTTGATGCATCCCACAATCTCACTTCTCAATACATTCCCATTGGCATTTGCCTATGAAATCGAAAGGGGAAAACATAATGAACTAATTTCAAATAAGTTGCCATATTTTCAACTCATTAATTTAGAGTAGGTTAGTCCCTCACCAGTAGATTGACGGACTCAATGACATCCAAGAAGACTTCATTCTTACGATAGCGAATCCCCTCTGATCGCCATGAAACTGCATTTGTCACTGCCATTGGAGGCCTTGGGGCTATCTCAAGCTTGTGTCCCTCCTGAGTAATATATCTAAAATTCCAGGAAAGGAAAGAGTCCCAGATGGGTTTTTATACATGCACAAATCCAACATACATACCCCAAAAAAGGAAATGCACTCACTCCTGAAGAATTTTGGTTTCTGTTGTTTGTGGGTATCCAAAATCAATGAGTTCATCCAGGAGCTCGTAGATGAGCACAAAGTTGTCCCTAATACTTTCCTCCTCTAATTCCTTGAAATATTCACTGAGGACATCAACAACTTTGTGCAGGAAGACAAACACAAGAGCAATGTTTGCATTTTTCTTCGTTGCAGAGACCACTGTTTTGAGAAGCAAGTCAAGGATGGTCTGCAATAATGGCAATATTAAACAATTTTCCTCTAGTAGTACCCAGCTGAAAATTGATTGGATTTAGAAATATTCTTGGCTAGATAAATATACAATCCCCATTTTATGGTGCTTTTCTAGTCACTTCAGTTGTGATTACACTTGGTATACTAGGTCAGTGTGAAGGTATTATGAAATAATGGACCTTTTTTCAAGTAAAGAATTGTGCCTTTGTCTCCACACCAGGGAAGAAATCAAACTTGCTGTCAGAATTGGCTACCAGTGTATTGGGAATGGAATGTCCTGACTTCCACTAAGTGAAAAAGGGTGGCACCTGAAGCCAAGAAAGTTTCAAAAGAAAGATTATGTAAGCCAACATCATTTACATTAATGAGCTTGCATGCAAATAATACTGATGTTCAACAGTTTTCAAGCAACTTATGCAATGCAGAATATTAGAAAGGATACAGTAAAGGTTGGTGTGTTTGATGTATGCAAAGGTAACATTCTTGGCGGTGACAATCGGGGAAGTCACACCCTCTTCTTCTCTGTCCATGATCAATGGCATGAATTTTTCAATGACTGTCAACTCCACATCCCCTCTATAGTCTCTTGATATCAGGACCTGTAGCAAAGAATGCTTCCATCAGATATGAAGAAGAAAGGAACCTACCATCTCAATTTATTCTCCAATGGCATTCAATTTCACTTCTTTATTTTTCTCATGGTGTGAACTTAAGAGACTGAAATCTAAAAACACTGTCACAAGATATGCCTACATCTTAACCATGTAAGACACAGCCAAGGCCTAAGGCTAGGTTGTAACAGCATTTGGTTTCATGTTCCCAGCTGAACAACCACAAATACTTCAAAACAGGAGTGTAGCCAAAATTTCCCCAAGGAAGCTATTACCACAACTGGAATACAAAGTCAAGTTAGTTGAACTTCTTCCACACTGTACTCACCTTCAATATTGGTAACAATAGAAACTGCCCAGTATTAATATAAAAAAAGCCTAATTTCAACCACTAGACTTAAAAGTCTGATTATATCTCCCTCTTGATTCTGCACTGCATTTAGTGATAAGATTAACCCATCTGCCAACCAATTATCTTTCCTGGAGCTACTAGTAAAATACCATTTCATTCAATGTAAATTCGTTAGTAACACCTTTATACTATCTAAGTGAAGTCATGTTAGACATAAATCATACCAATTGACAGCCAAGTCAACATGAGACAGTCTAAACTACAATCAGGTAAGCCAAGTGCATGTGATATCAAGCCATCTATTTGATGGGTAGGTCATCAGATGGGTTAAGATTCTCTGCACAAACATTGCAAGTCACAGTCATATTAACTGTTGGTAGTATGAAGTACACTTAATATTGCCAACTACATCATTCATATATTACCTCAAGATCCTTGGGCAAAAAAAAAAAAAAGGAAAGGAAACATTAATGATTTAATGCTAAAGGGTTCCATTGATGCATTGCCATTGATGCTAAAGGGTTCTGCAATAGCCAAATTGGGAAATTCCTCAGCACTGCTGATTTTAGATAGGTTTTGTTGACATGTATATAAGTAGTTGAGGATGACAAATACAACAATGCAGTATCTGCAGTGAATAGCACATTTGCTCTAAAAACAAATGAAAGTACTTCATGATTTCAGTCATTTCGCCCTGGATGGTACGTAGGTGTAAATTAAAAACACAAAAATGGGAAACACATTGAAAGTAGTGGGGGCAAAGGTCAAGAGAGCATTAATTCAGAGGAAGGTAGTCAGGACTAAGGATCATTGTGTCTAAAACACAAAGTGTGAGAGGCTATTATTGTTGGTATTACAGGAAGCAGTGAAATCGTTTAGGGATGAGGAGGAACCACAGAGGCTTTACTTATGCCAAATCCGATCCTGTTGCACCCATTTCTACAGCAGTTTTTGGCATGGAAGCTAGGAATATTTTCATCAAGAATGGCCAACATTCTTTTGACCAGATATTTACTGATGGGGATAATTAAGGCTCTTCCAATATTGATTTTGCAGACACTTTTATGTGAATGCTATACATCACTATATGTTGCCCAATAAGCAAGTATTAGAATATGCCTTGTATATGCACAACACATTGGTAGACGTATGCTCTGTCCTTGAAATATTTTCATGACATATTTTCAATATTTCCAATTGTATGCATAAATACAACATATGGATTACAACATGGGATTTTTATCTTTGATATGTCTCCATCATATGAGAGTTAACTCATGTCACCCATTATGTCAATAACTGCTTTCTAAAACTTCCTACAGTATTTTTCACTTCAGTCAATTTTTTTTACTTAACACTAGAACTACCAGAGCAGCCAATTTTACAGCTGTATAAAAAGTAGTATCAAACTATTGTTCTGTAACATGTTATTTGTTTTTTTTCATGTCATTTGGTATGTTTAAAATGTTCAAAATGTCAATATGAGATAGGAAATGTAAAAAATACAGAGGCCCTTTATTGCCAAACAAGCAAAGTACATTAAAAATCGGCAAGTAGTCAGAATGACTACCCTTGTAGTTCTAGTTTTAACTTCAACACTCATGCATGAGGAATGTCCTGTGTACATATCTGAGTCAAGTGAAAATATGTCTTAACTCAAATGAAAAACACTAGTTTTATAAATATTCCAATATATTGGCATCACCAATGAACTATTTTCCATAGAGCAGAGCCATTCCAGCATAGCTTGGTGGAATGGCAATAAAAATTTGGGATGAAAACTTTGTTTCACTAACTTCATTTGTTCAGTAGCAAAATGCAAGACAGATTTCAATAAAGAAAACTGATATAGCAAGTTTTGAATTATGTAGTGAAAAGTTCCATAAATATTTTCATTATTAAAACTAAACTTTTTCTTTCCACCACATTAAGTGAATTTATCCAGAGGACATTTACATATATGATTACATGCAGATTTTCCCCATGGAAGACTTCAATCTTCATTGCAAACATTATTATTTACAGTATGCCTATGGCAATTATGCAAAAAAGGGTAGGTTGCTGTGATGCAACCGCTCTTCTCACCTTCCCCTTCTGGTCCAAGATGAAGAGTGCTGAAGCAGACATGACTGCAGACCTTTCAGGTCTTTTCCACTTTTTGAATTTTTTTTCAGGCCTTATTGTCAGGCATAGACATGTTAGTCAGAGAACCACGTTGGCCTGTTGTCTAAAGAAACAAAGAGAAAGAAATAGGTTATTTAAAATATGTTGATACTTGCCTCAGCCTATGACTACGCCCACAGCACAGCCTGTGAGCATAAGTTTGGCTATTTAAATCAGATACAGTACCACACATCATAAGCCTGGAGATGAATCATTAGGCCTATGATATGTGGTACTATATCTGATATGTGTACTGGTGACTACCAAAAAACAAAATATGAAAAGAGTACTGATTAAACTATAACATAGACATAACATAAAGGCTGACCTCAACAATAGACATGTAAATACCTTAGATTGTTGTAACAGTATGCATTTTGTAGACTTGAATTATGCTCTTTCAGTTGATTTGAGATTATATATACTGTCTTGAAACCAGAGGTAGGAAATGACAGGAATTTTCTTTTAATTGTTTTAATGTAAAGCATAACTACATAATTTCCCTATATCTACATTTGCATTCCCCCCTTAACATCTGTTTCATAAATTTTGCACATTTTCTCTACAAGTTCTCTTTCCTGTATTTCTTGAATACAGTAGAGATAACAGCATCCAAACCGGAGATAAACATGTCAGTGAAAAAGAACTCATTATACACCTTCAAACAGGACTCCTGTTTCCAGAGTTTTCCCTCAAAAAAGGTCACTTGCAAAGGTCACCCAGTTTCTGAATTTCTTGTTCCATCCTGATCCATCCTTGTACTAAGGCATAATATAGCCAAAATTAGGACAGGGCTATTAGGACTTGAAAAAATCACAGAAAGTCTATTAACTGTTACAGTAATTTTTGCATAATTTATTATGAAAGGTATCAATGCATGTGCTGATATTCTTTATTCTCTGAGTCCATATATAGATGGCTTCCTGCATAATATTCAGAGAAATTACAAAAAATCTTATATTAATTCGTAAGCAAATTTCACTGCAATATCACTTCACCATTACATGATGAACCTTTTAGGTTCAAGTGTGAATAGCAACATAGATGTACCATAGGCCATGAGCAACCAAATGTCTGTAGAGATAGTTGACAAAAATATTTGGCTTAACAGAACTCATATGGTATATTTCAAGTTAATCAGACAATTTTCACTTGACTCAGACACCTGTGCATGGGATGTTCCTCATGCATGAGTATGAGTCAAGTGAAAAATTCTCTAACTCAAGTGAAAAATACTGTAAACCTCTCCAATTATTTGCTTTCACCCACATTACCACCAAAGCATCACTTTTTGAGCAGGCCACAGCTCAGCTTAACTTCTTTTCTACAACAGTACTGGTCTCTGAAAGCCTTCCTCAAGAGCTTACTATCATGGTATTGGACCTAGGTCAATGTCTACTTCTCCCCATCAGATGGTCCAAGACCAGGTAACATCCACCATAGTATATGATGTCCCATAGATCTATCATAACTGTTAGGCCTAGGCCTATGCCAACAGACTTCTAGTGAACTGCATGGAGAGCCAAATCCCAGGCAGAATATAACGCTAAAGTTAGCGAGTACCCTTAGTTTAACGCCAGATGGCAAAGCCAAGCTCAGGTATAATAGCTTGATCAAGTTCTGTTGGCGTAGAATGCAAAACATCCGACCGAATAAGAAACTGATACATTCAGTACGTGTCTTCGTTCCCATCTATTTCAAAATGGCTTGACCTCTTTTTTATACAGGAGCAATAGCCCGTCGATCCAACTGGCTCGACCGGCTAATAACGTCTCAATCATTACAGATCGCCACGCAACATCACAAGGTCAGCCTCTACCCAGTTTCACGAAAGTAAGCCGGTCTTCGACCAAGCGACCGGCCGCACCCTTGTCACGCTTATAGCTGTTCCCAGGAATGCAAATGTGTCGGGCCAGTTACCCTGTTTCCGAGGCAGCCCTCAATCCCAGGTTAAGAGCCCAACACCTCACTAAAAAAAGGAAAATCAGGAAACCTAGCCCCCAAAAACCAGTCACGTCGATCGAGCGGATTCAGATGCGGACTCCAGGTAGAATCACCTGCATTCCGCCATCTTCCCTCGTAGCGCTGGCTGCGTCACTCGGCATTTAAAAAAATGATCGCAGGATGACAGATGATACAAGACTGCAACACGTCAATTTACATTCAACTTCGTCCAGTATCTGCTTCCATTCTCTTTTCCTCAGCGAACACACACACACACTCACACCACACACCGACGAAGGACCGACAGCGGCCGCCCAGTCGCGTCGCCGCCCTCCTCGCAACTCCTATCCCCACCTCTCCCACGCGTCGCCTCGCATTCCTTTAATGGCTGCAGATCTCGTCGGAATGGGACGAGAACCGCGCCGTCTCGTCGACGTTTACACGACTGGAGAGATTCCCTGGGAGATTCCCCAAGAGATTCGTTTCCGTGTGGCGGCGGCACCCCGATCGATAAACGTTACGGGCCTTCAGGATCTCAAAAATTCACGAGAGATTTCTCATAAATTCATTACGAAACACGAGACGAGACAGGATCGACACGGCCTCCGGTGGCCCCCTCGCAGTGGTCCCCTCCCCTCGCAGTGGTCCCCTCGCTCAGCAGACGGAAAGGCGAATAGCCGATATGCATCTGTTGGAGCCAGAAATCCGATTCCGGGGAGATAACGAGGGCGAAAAGGCGAGAACGGCCGTTAAATATAAGTCAAGAAAGCAGCCTGGTGCCCCAGGGTGCCCCAAGGTGCCCCATGGTGCCCCAGGGTGCCCCAAGGTGCCCCAGGGTGCCCCTGGACATCGCAGCACACCAGATCCGCTGCCATAAGAAAATGTTTTGCTCTCTATCCATCGCATTCGAGAAGAATGAAGCAACGAACCGAATAAGTACCGGGAAAAAAGTACCGTGCATCTTTCCTTCATCGTCGCAGCGAAACGGGAAAGAAAAACTCCTTCAATCGGCCGATTAAATTCCCAAATGAAATCTCCTCCTCCTCCCCTCCAATCGGAAGCAAGGCCGATGACGTCACGGGTGATGACGTCACGCATCCGTGCAGTGAAAGCGGGCGCGATCGTGCGAGAAACCGCCACTAGATGTCTCTGCGCTGCAGTTCATGCACGACAGAATTTTTTCGACGAGGAAGTTTCGACATTCCAGGAACCTCCGATGGAAAAAAAAAAAAAATCTCCTACCCTTGAATCCCCGATGGCATTCGTGCAACGATGGCCATCTCCTTACGGGGAATCGGGAAGGCACCCCAAAAAGTCACAACACCTCCTGTCACGTCGAGCGGTCCACGATTTGCATTCGGATAAGACTCGCAAAGTCGACCACTGCGGCTTTTATCTTAGGCGATGGCAGTGACGTCATTGCCGAAAACCACTCGGGCGTCGGGAAACGCATCAAGGTCGGGTTTCGCTCAGCGCATTTCTGGATGACGTCATCAGCGACCTTAGGAGAAAGCACTGAATTTACAGTCTCCTTCGGATAAACGAAACGTAAATCATTTCCTTCCATCTATAAACCTACCAGTTCCAGATGCCCTTGTGATATATTTTTTATGCACCAGGGTTTATGATAATTATATGCAAGGTTTATGATAATTATATGTAAGGTTTACGATATTTATACAGAGGTTTCCTTCGTGTACCGTAGAGGTTGAATCCCGGACTGGTTCCAGTCCTGGATTTGAATGCACCATCTCATCTTTTCGCAATTATGGAATAATAATAAAGACTTCGTGTTGGCGATCGGAATTCGGCGGAAACGTGGTCACGTTTCTTTCGTCACCCGCGAATGCAGGCGGACGTGCATGCGAACGCACGTTCCAACGCGCTCGAACGCGAGGCGTGCAGACACGTACGCCGCTTGCATCATTAAAATCGCAGGAGTGACGCAAGAGATGTCGGGGGTGAAACTGTCTCAATTCTGGTCTGGGAAACACGAACACAAATTACATGCACCACTCGGCGAAAATTTCCCGCGATCGATTTTACCCAATCATCACTTTTTGAGTTAAAATAAGCGAAGGGATGTAAGGATGCAGCGAGGCTTTTAAATTCCCAGAAATTATTCGACATCGGTCTGGCATTCCAAAAAGGTCTCAACCATTTCCAAGATTTCCTCTCGGCCTCGAAAACATTTCCATTCAAGCATTTCACCTCATCGTCTCCCCCACCACTCGCAATGCAGACTTCCCATGTCGACCGAATCCACATCGCTTTTTTTTGTTCCTTCTCCACCCGCAAAAAAAAAAAAAAAACACACCCTTTTTTTTGTTCCTTCTCCCCCCCCAAAAAAAAAAAAAAGCCTCAAAAAAGACACAACAACTTCATTCCACAAACCGGAAACAGCACTGGGCAAAAACATGTCTCCAAAGAACAAAAAAAAAAGGGGGGGCAAAATGCACTCAACCCCTCCCCTCCCCCCTCCCCCACACCCTCGCCCTAAACACCCTACTCCTCCCTGCCGACGACCCAACAACGAACATCCCAACCCCCTCCTTCCGATACGCATGCACCTTCCCCACTCCCTTGAACGGAATCCTCTGAACGAGCCTGAACCCACTCGCTCCCTTGTACTGGTAGATCCCGATCCGATTGAAGTGCGGAGAGCTCGTCACCAGGTACGTCCTCCCTGAGGGTACGAACGAGAGCAATCATCGTTTTTCAGTCGAGAACACTTTTTAAATATTTTAGAAATCGATATGAAAGATTCATACGAACGAGAATCATTTTATTTTTGGCAGGAACTATGAACTATGATTCTGAATAACCTACCAAAAATACGCTTGGGGTAACCTCATTCCTTAACCCTCTAAGTGCGGTTGACGTGTCCCACACGTCAACAGAGTGGGTCGTGAATTTGAAAGCATATTTTTTAATATTTAGTTCGGCAATCGCAGCCAACGAAGTATCACGTGACACCCAACCGACCAACGATCATTTTACCAAACTTAAAAAAAAAATTAAAAAAATCAACGCATCTTCTCCCCTCAATCTCCCCCGCAAACAAAATCTCACCGTGAAGAGCGAAGGACGCCAACCCCGTGACCCCATACTCCGGCACGTTCTGCACCACAAAGTACTGCCCCTTCTCCCCCGAATACGCCAACACCACGACCCTGGCCGAATTCCTCTCCATCTTCCCTCCCCCACCCACAACGTCCCCCTTCTCCTGGGCGATCGCCACCAACACCTTCCCCGACGCCGACATCATGCCCACCACGTCCGACGCGTGCTCCGTCGTCACCTCCCGGATCAGCACGAACTGGAAACACGTACCAAAACCAAATTTTTTTTTAAAGTACAGGAAATTCCATACATTCATCAGAATTGCCCAACCCCCGCATGGCATCGAGATCTAACCTTTTCCTCTCGAGGAAGGAATCGAAAGATGATGGACTTGGTCGTAGCAGATCGCTTCACGGAGTCGAAGGCATTGCATATGACCAAGTCGATGCCATAACGATGATGGACGAGAGCCATAGCCTTGGCCCCATGCGTCGGAATCCATTGAATCTCCACCCATTCCCCCTTCAACTCATCATAGCTGTACAGGATCGCCTTGAGATTCGTAGACTCCAACCCTGCACCATCCCCACCGGAAAAAAAAACCAATGAAACCTCCAGACCACCCCCTCCCCTCCCCCTCTACATCCCTCGCAGAAGACTCACGGCGATCGTAATAGGAGCACACCACCATATACAACCTCCTATCGTGCGTGAAATACTCGACATCCGACAGGAACCCCATGGGATACCCCTGCAAGGTGACCGTCCCCAGCAGCCCCTCCCCCTCCGTGTCCAGCGTGAGTCCCCCCCGCAACGACAGCGACTGGATCATCAACTGCGCCTCCGGCGACGCACACCTGCCCCGGACCCACAACGATAACATCGGCGCCGATCTCACCCTAAAGCCGTTTCTCCTCACCCCGGTCGATCCGCGTAGCTGTCCGAATAGAGCAGAAAGGCCCCGTCCTGTGCAGGCGCCACGAAAGGGAAATATCTGTGAGGCTTGGGCGACCCCGAGGTCTTCAACCCCCCGTCTCGATCCATCACCAGCACCCGCGTCTCGTAGCATTGACAAGAGCCTGCAGAAAATTCCCGATCCACATTGTGTTCCAAGCTCATGTGATAAAGATTCAAATGAGGCCTCATTTCACTGGATTTTTCTGTCATAGAATCATGTTCAACGTCAAAATTGACACTTGCGCACGTCGAACTCGCACTGGACGCGAAAAAAAAGCATCCGGAACTTTCCTGATCAACCCCACGCGCGATCGAATCATCCCGAGACGGAAATCACCTTTAGCACTTTTGCAGGGAACGGCATAGATGCAATAAATCCCCTCGTCGCCCCCGAATCGAACTCCGATGAAATGCGTCACCGACCCCACCTCCAACACTCCATGTTCCACGAAATACGCCAACTCCTCCTCCCCCCCTTCAAAAACCAAACCCAAAACCAATCAAACTTACCTCCAAACCAAACAAACCACCCCCCCCCCCCCCCACCACCCATACCCCATCCCCGCCGCAAGTACTCAAAGTACTTGTCCTGCACCCCCTTGAGCCCCCTCCCCAGCGCCTCCACCCTCCCCATCGAGTCCCTGACCCAGCTCTCCAGCCGTCGGGGGAACGTCGAGACGTCGTAGCCGTTCGCCGTCCCGATCACGTTCATGTTGATCCCGCCGCCCGTCACCGGACCTTTAAAAGTCTGCATCCCACACCTCTTTTCTCAGTCGGAGGAAGTAAAGGGCGACATGAAGGGCAAATAAAGGGCATACCGCAGTGCAGCAGATTTCTTGCGGCCGATCTTTCATCAAGATGATTTCGCTCAACTCCCGAATATTTTTCCCGTTGATTTTGCCGACGGCGACGGATCCTTTGACCGTGACGTCTCCTTTGATGACCTTTCGTCCTTTGATCTTGTGAGTTCCCGATCGAGTCACGATCTCCTCCATCTTGATCCCGTTGATGGACGGTGTCACTATTTTCCCTAGAAGCAACGGACGAACAGGAGGACGTTAGAAAATCATGCTCCACAGAGGAGTTACGTTTACACCTTCTACGGCAACCTAAGCGAGGAATCGAGAATCGCCAAGATTCGGTCTTGTTCTCTCTCAATAGAATCCCATGTTACATCTGATTTTAATGTTTTAAAATTTGGAGTTTCCGTTTTACATTTTTTTTTACATCAGCCGACATCATTGGTTTCATTTCGAGTCTCAATTGACGAGATTAAGATTAGATTAAGAATCGACGCTAAAAAACCGTTTCAACAGCGAAAAAAGATAAAGGATCGACCATCAGCACCCGTTCCACGATCTGCTGGAACGAATGAAAAAAGACGCAATCGCTCGGTAGCCTATCCCGCCCGTCCATTGGACGCCTCGTTCAACGCAACAGGCCAATCGGAGAACACCGTCCTCACGCGGCCCCCCATCCCGCCATCCCATTGGACGCCGCAAAGGCAGCGGAAGGGAAACGAACCCGAGACGATGACGTCATCCAGGAACTCCCACCTCCCCGCAACCTTCCGATCGAACTCCGTGGTCACGAGCGTCTCGAGGAAGTCCTCCAGTCGGACCCCGTCGACCCAGCCCCGCACGGCGAGATCCCCGACGTCGACGGGATTCAGGAATCGAGTGCGTCCGGGGATGAGACGCGAGTCGTTCCTCTTCACCAAATCCTCATCCACGTTCAATCCATTCAGCCTTCCTGGTTTGTACAAGAGTAAATTAAGCTGGTATAAAGGCATCTTCATACACCCAACGGTTGGAAATCTGTCTCCCATTGCTTCTTCGCACCAAGTAATAAAAATTAAAAAACCACTAAAGCCTGAGCCAAGTGGTTTTTAAAGTTAGTTAGGGTTGGTTATAAGATTTTCAGATTTAATACTGTAAAATCAAATATTGTAAATTAGTTGCTCAACATTACTGGCATTACAAGCATAGTAACTGTTTCGCCTTCGTCTAAGCCGTCAACTGGAGTTAAAATTCCAGCTCTGTTTGGCATTGACATTTCTAATTGGATTTCATCACTTGATAAATTATTCAACATTTCTGTTAAGAAACGTGAGTTGAAACCGATTTGCATATCGTCTCCTTGGTAATCACAAGTCAAACGCTCATCTGCTTTGTTTGAATAATCGATATCTTCTGCTGATATATTCAATTCAGTTCCTGCAATTTTTAAACGAATTTGGTGCGTAGTTTTGTTAGCAAAGATAGCCACACGACGAACCGAGTTTAAAAACTGAACTCTGTTGATTAATAACTTGTTTGGATTTTCTTTTGGAATAACCGCTTCGTAGTTTGGATATTTCCCATCGATTAAACGACAAGTCAATACATAATTCTCAAAAGAGAATGTTGCATTAGAATCGTTATATTCGATTGAAACTTCTGAATCAGATGCACCTAAAATTCCTTTTAAAATGTTTAAAGGTTTCTTTGGCATAATAAAATCTGCTACTTGCGATGCTTTTACATCGGTGCGAGCGTATTTTACTAATTTGTGTGCGTCTGTTGCTACAAAAATTAATCCTTCTGGTGAAAATTGGAAGAAAACACCACTCATTACAGGGCGTAAATCATCGTTTCCAGCAGCAAAAATAGTTTTGCTTACCGCAGTTGCTAGTACTTCCGCAGGAACTAATGTTTTTGAAGGATCATCTAAAACTACAGCTTTAGGAAATTCTTCTCCTGGTGCATAAGCAATCGCATATTTACCCGAGTTTGAGCTAATTTCTACAGTAGAATTGTCTTCTACTGTAAATGTTAACGGTTGCTCTGGGAATGTAATTAAAAACGGTATTCCAGTTGCGATTGTAGGAGAACCGAATGTAGGTAAATCGACTTTATTGAATGCTTTACTGAATGAGGAACGCGCGATAGTTTCTGACATTGCAGGAACCACGCGTGATACAATTGAAGACGAATTGGTTATCAATGGAATTGGTTTCCGATTTATTGATACTGCAGGAATTCGTGAAACGAAGGATGTGGTGGAAAGTATTGGGATTCAGAAGACGTTTGAAAAGATAGAGCAAGCGCAGGTAGTTCTATTTATTTTGGATGGAAGATGGATGATGGAAGCTGGGAGTTTGGAAGCTGTAAAAATTGAATTTGAAAAAATTAAAAACAAGTTTCCATTAAAACCTATAGTAGTCATTGCTAATAAATCTGATTTGCTTTCAGAGGAACAAAAAAACAATATTCAAGCTACCATTGACGATATACTTTTCCTAAGTGCCAAACAGAAAGTAGGTATTGACGAACTCAAAAATACGTTACTCTCTTTTGTAAACACAGGTGCGCTTAGAAATAACGAAACGATTGTGACCAACACGCGCCATTATGACTCTTTATTAAAAGCTTTGGAAGAAATTCAAAAAGTGAAATGGGGATTAAATTCGGGGCTTTCTTCTGATTTGATGGCGATTGATATTCGCTCTGCCCTACACTACTTTGGTGAAATTACTGGGGAAGTTACCAACGACGAATTGCTTGGAAATATTTTTGCGAACTTCTGTATCGGGAAGTAAACACTAATGGATTCTCTCACACAAATAGTCCTCGGAATTGCCACAGCCGAATTGGTTGCTGGTAAAAAACTGCAAAACAAAGCCTTTTTGTATGGCGCAGTTTTGGGTACGATTCCCGATTTAGACATTTTAGTGGGAAAATTTTTAAGTGATGTTGAAGGAGTTGCCATTCACAGAGGTTTAAGTCATTCTCTACTATTTTTTATGTTTTTATCGCCAGTTTTGGGCTGGTTAATTTCCAAAATAGAAAAAGAAAAAATTAGTTTTAAAAGTGCTTCATTATTGGCATTTTGGTGTTTGTTTACCCATGTTTTGTTGGATGTATTTACTACATGGGGAACACAAGTTTTATGGCCGTTAGAACACAGATTTGCGCTAAAAACTATTTTTGTAATTGACCCATTATACACGATACCACTATTAATCTCATTGATTTTCATTTGGAAAAATAAAGATCATTTGATTCGAAGAAAATATCTAATTAGAGGATTAGTAATTAGCTCTTCTTATTTGCTTTTGACTTGTATTTTGAAACTTTTTGCTGTGTCTCAATTCGAAAAAGCATTACAAAATGAAAATTTATTTTACCAAGAATTGATTGTAAAACCTACTGCATTTAATTGTATTCTTTGGAATGCGAATATATCTACTCCAGAAGGTTATTATTTGGCAGATTATTCAGTATTTGATTCGCAACCAATTCGCTTTACTTTCTATACCAAAAATAGGAAATTGGAAGAAAAATTGGTAAATTCGTATGATTTTCAGCAACTTAAAAAAATCAGTGAAGGTTGGTATTTGGTTACAGAACAAAATAATCGCTTATATTTTAATGATTTGCGTTTTGGTTTATTGAATGATTCACCTGAAAATCCTCAGTTTGCTTTTAGTTACCGAATGATTCCAATGTCTGATGGAATATATTTGGCTGAGGAAGTTCCAAAAGCCAAAAGAGATGGAAAAGAATTACTCAAAAAGATTTTTACACGATTAAAAGGTAATTAACAAATGGCAAAATATTCGATAGTTTTTCATCCATCAGAAACTGTCATTAAAGCAGTTAATGAACTCAAAGAGCAATTGAGTTCTAAAATTGGGTGGTTTCCGAGTAAGAATTCCATAGCACATATAACTATTTGTGAGTTTGATTACGAACTTGCTACATATGAAAATATAAAATCCCGAATCACAACGTTTTGTCGTTATCAAAATCCTTTTGAAGTAAGATTTAATGCGTTTGGAAATTATACGAATGGTGCATTTTTCATTTCTCCAGATACCGAAAGTAAAAACAAAATGGCAGAAATCATGAAGGAAATTCCCAAACAAATTCAATTTCCCGTGAGTCATAAAAGTACTGAACCACATATTTCAATTGGAAGACAACTTACTGAATCCCAACTGAAAATCGCCTACAGTTTGTTTGATTCTGTAGATTTGAATTTCATTTGTGAAGGCATCACTATTCGAATTTTTAATCCCGATAGAAAACAATATGATGTACTAGAAACGATTCCATTTCTGAGTGAAATGGAAACTGAAAAAAAGCAATTGACTTTGTTTTGATTATTCTTTCGTACTCATTTTAATCTGCAAATGATTTAATAACACTTGATATTTACTGATTTCTCGCAACACTATTTCATCATCGGTAGCGTCCATCATATCGTCTAAATCGTCACTCACTTCAATTAATTTAATACTGGCCTCCGAAAAATTCTTTATTGCCATGTTATCAATAATCAATTGAATGTCTTTTTTTATTTCTGAAAATCTATCTTCCATTTCTATTTTATTTTCCTCGCAACAAATTAATACTTACCGTTGCATAATCGGTTTCGGGATATTTTTTAAAGTAGTTGACATCCGAATGCAATCCTGATTCAGCTGCTATTTTTTGCAACACCTCAATTTCTACAATAAACTGATCCGAAAACCCGTGTGTAGCATCATAAGCAGTCGCTGCTGTTTTTCCAATATTTTGTGCCGTTAATTCGGGTGCTACCGTATGCAATTCGATAATTAAAAGTCCAAATTTACGAACATACGGACTCCATTTCGTAAAATGTTCCAATAAATTATCTTCAACATCGTTGTTTGAAATTCGAACGCCACGATGTGAAAAAGCTCCAGTAGAGGTACTCACTCTATCTTTTGACTTATTTTTTGGGTCTTCCCAAATGCGATTGTGGTCTAAAAAAGTGCGTACATTCAACAAATCTTTTAAGTCGATATTGTAATTCTCTTGTAAATCGCTATTCAATAAATCTGGATTTCCAATATCTCCCCAAATGACTTTCGCCCAAATATCCGCTTTTATTAAATTCGCTCTCGTAACTTTCAAAGCCGCTTGATTGTAATCCGCTCCAACAAAAAACAATGGGTAATCATCTAACATTTTACCTCGCAACGTTTGTCGTTCGATGACTTCAAAAATATGTTGTAAAAAAGCGCCATTTCCGCAACCCATATCTAAAATCCCTTTTGGTTGTTCGGCGATAGGTTTATTAAAAAGTTCGATGATAATATCATCAATTACTTTGAAATACGTTGCATGCGCACCACCACTTCCCCAAACGTTCATTTCGCGATTAACGTGAATTTCATCTTCGTTTTTAGCGATATTTCTTAACTCACTCGCATTTCCAAACAACAAACTGTCAATATGTTTGAACATCGGAAGATAGGAAACCGTTACACCATAAGCCGAAGCTCGTTTGGCAAAGAAAAAACCATCTTCTGTAAATTGATAATTGTCGTTTTTCTTGGAAAACCAACCCAAATGCACAAAGAAATCCAGAATTTTAGCAAACGCTTCTGGGTGTTTATGAAATTCATCCGCTCGAAACGAACTTTCCATGAAATACTTGTGAAACATGCCTGTCATTCCTAAGTTCACGACAATTGGTCCAACCAAATACCCTTCAATATGAGTTAGCATCTGCTCTTGAACGGCTCTTAATTTTTCGTCTTCTTCAAAATGAATATGATAATTTTCGGTGAATTTCTT